AGAGTGTGTGTGAGAGAGAGAGAGAGAGAGAGAGAGAGAGAGAGAGAGAGAGCGAGAGAGAGAGATTTACATAGACATAGATATAGATAGGCAAGGTGTAATTTAGCTTTGACAAGGCAAAAGTGAAGTATAGCTATCAATATCTGCAGTGCCGGCCCAGTGTCCAGTGGTTAGCGTGTTGACCTCACAGTGCAGAGGTGTAAGGTTCAATTCCCACTCTGGCCTTCCTGTGTGGGATTTGCATGTTCTCCCCGTATCTGCATGCGTTTTCTCTGGGCACTCCGGTTTCCTCCCACATTCCAAAAACATGCGTAGCAGGTTAATGGAACACTCTAAATCGTCCCGAGGTGTGGCTCTGAGTGCGGTGGTTGTTCGTCTATGTTTGCTCTGCGATTGGCTGGCAACCAGTTCAGATCGAACCACGCCTCCTGCCCGAAAAGACAGCTGGGGACAGGCTCCAGCACGCCCTGCAACCCTTATGAAAAGTGGATCAGAAAATGGATGGATGACTATCTGTCATTTAGACAGGTCACAATTCAATAACAGATACATTGAATGAAAAGTCCAGTTTTTGCAGTATATTGCAAACTATTTTTTGTAAACTGTGGGTATGGTTTGTTCCAGAATCATTTATTTGATCTTTTGTGTTTTCAAGAGAAAAAAAATGATACACCACCACATCATTTGTTTTGTCCAGCTCAGCCATCAAAAGTACACTTTTTAATGAGTGATTTAATTTTTTTCATATCATACAGAAAACGTTGCTGTGTTTCGTACAACCCGGCACTTGAAAAATCTAAATACATATTTTTGTTGTTGTTGTTGTTTTCATGTGTTAGCTGCTATGTTAACTGGTCAACAACAAATTTAGTTGCATAATCTTAGTTTGTTCACTTTTTTTCTGGAGAAAAGGTCACATTTCTAAAATGTTCGTTGTAGTTGATTGTTGTGTGACCGTGACTGTATTTTCTATGGAGCTTGTGACACAAGAACCTCATGTGAATCAAACCACCTGCGTGATCTGAGTCTACAAAATTATTTTTGTTTGCCACCACTTTGACAAAGTGCTACAAAAGGCCAAGGGAGCATGACATATTGTAATGAAGATAAGGCTCGCTCAGATCCATATTAGTCATGCATCCAAGTTAGCTGTGCATACATCTCATCGTGGAGGATGGGCAGCTTCCATAAAATCTGCACAAAAGTGTTTGCTTTCGATGAAAGAACTGTGAGTGACAAGTATAAACACAAATAATAACCGTATCTTACTTCACAATGGAGGCCTGGGGCTTTTCTGGAATCTCATTCCTATTTACAGTCTGAGTCTCGTGGCCCGTGTGGGATCACAACACATTTAACATGTGATCTTGAAGATGAGAGATGGTTGATGAGCACATGAGAGTAATGAGGCTTGAGAAAGTTATACATCGTGTGGGCTACAAACTACACACAAACTGGAAGATAATCCAGAAAGAAGTCATAAGGACGAGGCCATGAAATATATTCATTTAGGCTACACACCATGGGTCAAATAAGGTAACGCTAAAATATAAATCCTTCATTGTCACTGTAAAACATTATCAAACAACAGTCATCATTGAAATGCAGTTTAGCAACTCTCTCAAACTAAGACTATAGTTGCTCTCTCTGCAGACTCGGTATTTTAGGTATTAAACTGTAACAATCTCGGGTCAAAGTCACCCAGGGAAATTATTGCTGCAGCAGACCATTCCACTGTTCAAAATTCGTGTAGCTGCGTTTGTACACCACAAGGTGGTAATATTACTCTTTTTGTTGAAGTACCCCAATTAAACAACCGTAACACCTAAGTTTTCTGCAGTGTTTTGTATTTTAAAGAATAGTCAGAACCATCTGTTAAACAAAGGGGAAAAACAAACTGGTTTGTCAACAGTCTTTGATGTCTCAGATCTTTCTGTTGACTGCTTGGAGCGAGTTTGAAATACTACATGGTTTAAGAAAGTTTGCGTGTTTGCTTTGATGTCTTTGATGTACAGAAGTCTTGCGTTGGAAAAGTCTCGCGGAGGTGGAATGTATCATTTTTTCGTTCCGAAGGCACCAGTAGCCATAGAATGAAGTGAATGAAGAAGTGAACGGCAGGAAGTGGCAGCGAAGGCAGCTCCACACCTTTCCGGTGTATCAGCGCCGCGACCAGATCGGCTTTAAGACTGCTACTGGGAGAATTAATCGAAAGTCGGGGCCAAAACTGAGGTAAGCTGTTGTATTCCCGTTCATAGATGTACCTCGAGTCTGTCGATGTTAGTAATATTCTATCGTGTCGCTTATTTTGTAACAGGATCCGGCTGCTTCGTTGACGCTAACTGTTAGCGAGCTAGCCGGCTAGGCTAGTTAGCTTGCTAGCCGTCATTAGCGGACATAGGCAAATTTGGGATGCCTGCTTGACACTCCTATTTAATCTCCTTACAGGGGGGCGAGACGTGGACTTTCCTGGTTGAGTGCATGTGTTGCTGAGTCACCGAGGACTTGCTTGTCGTGGACCTTCGTAACCGGGAAGGTGAAGTTAACTGACGCAAAGCTTTGGCTGGTATTGCGTTAGCCGCAGAAAGCTGCTTTTCTTACCCGGTAGTGCTGACAGAGAGCCGGGGTGCAGCCGGTCAAGGGGCGCGTCACACGTCGCCCGAGGGACTTCACTGCGGCGTTTAGAGATACAACATCTCCTTTTTGTACACCACAGGCTGTTGCGGAAAACCACCCTTTGGCTGATTCGTGCCCAAGAATGCCCATCGTGCAACAGCTGCTGCCAAGTTTGTAGAGTAACGAGGCATGGTGTGAAAAGGCCCCGCTGACACACTGTGCTCCTTTGAATGTACACGTCCATGCGCCTGACAGCATAGCAAGCAAGCTCTTGTAGTTAGACTCACCATGAGAGTGTATTTCTAACGTTGCTACTGGGAGTCATGCTTTCACCAAAAAGCCTGTAATTGAACTGAAGCTTCTCTATAATAAGCAGAGTGCCCCTGCCTGATTTTGTCATTACCAGCAAGGTATATATGCAGAAGAGTTGAAAATGGGAAAAGTGCTCTCGAAGATATTTGGCAACAAGGAGATGAGAATATTAATGCTTGGACTTGATGCCGCCGGAAAGACAACAATTCTCTACAAACTGAAACTGGGACAGTCCGTCACCACGATCCCCACAGTGGGCTTCAACGTGGAGACTGTCACCTACAAAAATGTCAAATTCAACGTGTGGGATGTCGGCGGCCAAGATAAGATTCGCCCCCTGTGGCGACACTACTACACGGGCACCCAGGGGCTCATCTTTGTTGTGGATTGCGCAGACAGGGATCGCATCGATGAGGCGCGGCAGGAACTCCACCGAATCATCAATGACAGGGAGATGAGGGATGCCATCATCCTGATATTCGCCAATAAGCAAGACCTTCCCGATGCCATGAAGCCACACGAAATTCAAGAGAAGCTCGGATTGACACGCATCCGAGATAGGAATTGGTATGTTCAACCCTCGTGTGCGACCACGGGTGATGGACTCTATGAGGGCCTGACATGGCTAACCTCTAATTACAAATCTTAATGATTGAGTGCTGACTGTTTTAGGTCAAAACTATAATAAAGTTGCAAAGAACCTCTCCAATGAGTATGGTTAAGTACAAATTGATTAGCCTCATTTATTTTTTAATACTGCAATTACCCCATGACTAATTTATCTGCAGATTGGAGTGCTGGTTTAAATAAATGCTTGTCATGTGTAGCAGACAACTAGCTCAACATTTTAGGACTTGCTTATTGAATATTCAACGAATTGGTTCGATTGTGGAAGCCACAAACAGTTCACCACCTTTGCCTGTTGTTTTTCCTGTTTTCTATGATTTTTCTAATGACGCTGAATTTCTCTGCATTCTTCGGCTGGGGTTCTTTAATTTTTGCTTGCTTTCTGTTAAAGGAGATCTTGAATGCTTATGGACCTTGACCCAGTACTATGGTGAATAGTACTTGTTTGAAAGGTATTGGTTGCCGCAAATGAGAGTGTATCACCATTGCCATCTGTCTTGACTTGAGAGAAGAAATACTTCACATTTCATTAGCCCTCTCACTCAATTCCCTCATGTGGGCTATATAGTAAACTGATGTCTCATGTCTTGATACCTAAATGTGCTGAGTATTCAACAAATGGGCCTCCAAATACTCTTAACATGCTTGTTGGGATGTTTTTTATTTCTTTCTTCTTAGTTTTGGGGGAGGAAACACACACCCTCTCCAAGGGAATGTCCTTCAGCTCCGAGTTCTCTCAATCTGATATTGATTAGTCTCAGTATTGGGAATTAATATAATAGCCTGTATCTGTAGCATGAAGTGCAGCAAACCTCCACCAGGGACCTTCTGTCATGCGGTCAAAAGTGTGCTGCTGCTCCTGTTTTGATCAGGGTGGGGCGAGGGATCCATGTACAGACCTTGTCATTGTAATGTCTTATTAAAAAAAGTGATTTCAAATCCATGTCTTCGTAATGTTACTTTTTACCGAAACAACAGATTTACTGACCGCTTTGAACAAACTCAACGGGATGCCTTTACACAGGCGGCAGCTATTAACTTCCCAGACCAGTGAGACTGACTTCATAGAAACCTCAAATTGAATGTTTCTGCCCACCATGTCCTTGCCTTTCAGTAGGAGAATGTTCAAAACAGGAAGCTAAAACTGTTGGTCTTTGATTGTTTGCGTGAGAGTGTGCGTCACTGTACAACGTAATGCTGCATTGTTTATGCTGAGACCTGTGGGATAAAAATCAGTTGACTGAAGCATCGTAGTTTTATGTTAGCATGTGCCTTTCTGCACAACAATGGTACAAAGTTTAATGAGTTAGGTTTAATATATTACTGATTTAGGTAGTTGCACACTTTAGTTCACTTTTAGATTTACCCCACTGGGATTGAAAGGCAACCAGTTCAAGGTGTTCGCCGCCGACTGCACGATGACAGCTGGGATAGACTGCAGCACGCCCCCCGACCCTTGTGAAGACAAACGAATCAGGAAATGGATGCGGTGTTCGCCTCCTACTGCCCGATGACCCTTGTGAAGACAAACGAATCAGGAAATGGATGGATGGATTTACCCCGTAGTCTTTGCGAATTGCAACAGAAGTATAGTGGATTCAAAAAGTCTACAGACCGCTCTTGAGGTGTCATTTTTTTTGCGGGGGGAGGGGGGGGACAATAAAATGTCAACCATTAAAGTGACTAACTTGTTCTACTTATTTGATGAGAAATTAAATATTTAAAACGGCAAATTAAAATGGCCAAGATAATGTGGTTCCATGAGTGCACACCCATCTGAGGGTGTGGCTGTGTTCAGAATTAACCACACCCATAGAAACGTTTGTAAAATGGGAGTGGACTTGGCACACACCTGCTACCATTTTTTAAGTGGCTCTTGTAGCACCAAATAAAATTCTGATGTTTTCATCAGCATTTTCTGACACTTTTGTTTGCGACGTCTTACAGCACAAGCTATGGGTCACAGGGAGCGATATTATTGTTCATTTTGTAAATTTAAACTATAGTTTTAGTTTTGGTTTTATAAAAACATTTTTGTTTTGATTTTATTTCATTCAGGGAAATGTTTTTTTCAGTTTATAAGTTATTTCATTTATTTTTATTAACTAAAATTTCCTTGATGCTGACTCCCATTTAACAGTGAGTGTGAATGTGATTGGTTCATTGTCAACTGGCTACATCCCACATCCAACATGCGTGTGCAAGTTGCGCGTACTTCTGCAACATCATCTCAGTTTTTTACTTCCCTCTAAAAGATGTCTTTTTTTCACTGCCGTTCAAGAGGTAGATCACAAAAATCTGCCATTTGTAAAGATTAGTCTAGACCTTTGTTTATCCACTGTATGTGAAATTGCGTGAGACAAAAAAATGTCATGGTACAGGAATGGCATCAAACATCGACCAGCCAGACGTTTCCATAACTTGATAACTTTCACAATATCATGTCATCCAATACAATTGCTGTACTGAATATTCTTCAATTCACTTTCAAGGGATGACTTGATTGATTTCTTTCAGGCATTAGGAGGGAAGATTATTTTGAGGCCTGACAGTGATCTGCAGTTTCATGCAGCGTTAAAACGGCCTAACGCGAGTAACAAGAAGTGAGCATTCTTTAGGGGTTTCATTTCCCCCATCACTGCTGACCTCATTAAAATATTGCAGCTTAGGCTGCTGCTGTTGAATTGTCATTTCCTTCTCCTCCTTATGTCTTGTGCTAATGCATCATATTAACACATCATATCAAAGATACTTGGTTGATTTTCGTCAACGCTATTTAAAAAGATTCAAAGATTCAGCTGAATATGCAGATAGACCATATTCACATTTGTGTCCTCACAAACGTCACCTCCATCTCTCCAAAGGGAAAATGTGTAATTTTTAACGATCGTATGTGTTTCCTGAGCTTTATTCAGCCAAAGCATATTTTCCATGAGAAAAATCTCATGGTACACTACCACCACACTCAAAAAATGTATGCATACTGAAATGATGATCATCTCATCACAATTTTGTTTCGTTGAATACAAAGATACTATTCTGTTGCCTGAATGGCAACAAGTGGATACACAGGTTAATTCCACCTTCTGCCAGCTAATGGAAGAGTATTTAAATGTTCTTAGCAGGTAAACGGCAGGATCTGTGTTGCTTGCATTGACAAACAAAATCTGCATTTTCCATCCCTCCATTTTTATCCTGCTTATCGTCATGAGGCAAGGCAGCCTAAGCCTTTATACTGTATAGCATATTTCATACACAAGCCAACTCAATGCGCTTCGCAAAGATGTAGCACATTTTGGTTGCGTGTGAGCTGGAGCCGATCCCAGATGACTTTGTGTGAGAGGACGATTATTCGGACATCAATTGCTTGTCTTTGCGCTCCACGGTACAATGGCACCCTGGGCGGCCGTTCTTGTTTTGTTTGGACTGATTTCAGTGTGGGCAACACGGTGAACGAATGATTGGCACGTATGCCTCACAGTGCTGAGATTTAGGCTCGGGCCCTCCTGTTTGAAGTTTGAATGCTCTCTATGTACTGGCTTAGGTTTTCTCTGTACTGTAGCTTCCTCTCACATTACAAAACCATTCATGTCGGGTTCAGTGAAAACTTGAAATTGCCCACTTGTGCATACACACAAACCACATAAATGTCATATTGATGTGGCTCAAAGCCGTGCCTGCGTGCGGGTGAGAGTTGTAGGCACAAGCGCAACAAGAGTATGTGGTACATGTATAGTGATCATATTTTGGTCTTTCCTCCACTGACCATGCGCGTGCATTTTATAAATTTTCACAAACTGTTTTCGTAACTAAGAAAGCCCAAACCATGTTTTGTAATCAAATTTTGAATGAAAAGTGTGTTATGTAAACAGCCATAAATGCTTCAGAGTGAAACTCAGTGAGCTCCTGGTCCAGGCCTCCATTAGCTGCCGATGGCACTTTAATTGGGTTGTAATGGTCACTTTGGGTGGCACCACTTCATTACAACTGTAGGATTCTTGCTGCTTTATTGGCAACACCATCAGGATCCTCAGTGGGAGGACAGAGACTGCAAGTAACATTTATATGACTCTAGAGATGAGTCTTCCCGGCATTTTTTTTCCAATTCCCTGGGTGACTGGAATGCCTTCCACTTCCTGAGAGGAAAGTTTAGCCATCGTGAAATAAGTCTCATACTTTTTGTCATTGACAGGCAAGACAGAATGTAGCATTTTGTTCCGAATGTGATCTATTTTTTTTTTCCTAATTCATGCTTCTTCCATTCCATCCAATTTAACTGCTCTAGTTAAGTTTCCAATCCGGTTTTGTTTTGGGTTGACCACAATGCCTGTTTATTGGTTCAGTTACTATGACAATGGCCTGATGGGACATCTGCTGCTGGTGCTCTCAGTGCCACCAAAATGAAAGAGCGGACCACAAGTTTCCACTGAGCTCCTCAATGCTAAAAGTAAAGAGGAAGAGCTGCTGAAAGTTCCTCCCACTCTTAATCCCTTCTCCTGGGCAATCTTGCTTTCCCATTCAAGAAAACTCCTTTTACTTTCATTGCATTGAAATTTGAAAGGGGGCTGGGGGGGGGGCTCTTTTAACCCAGTTTAATGGTCTTCTGACTGGAGTTCTTCAAAAAAAACATAAGCATCAAACAGCTGCAGCTCATTAAGAACACTGCATCTCGGTTTCTGACCAAAACAAAGTGCATTAAGCAGTGAGCTTGCTTAGCTTACAGCTAATTGCTAACACATTACCTCAAACAATCTGAAAGCTAGCTAAGCAGACAGTTAAGCAACATAATATACTGTACATTTGATGATTTCAACTACAAAGCAGGGTATGTCAGTACAAAAATAATTATCGCAAAGAGAATGATTTTCTAACCTCAAAACACACTTTTCCCTTTCACATTTTGCAACCTGTGCTTCAGGACACAGATTTTTCACATAGAGTAAAAGTGAGCATATGCAGAGTCGATCATGGAATTCCGAACTTGTTCCTGATTGGAGTAAGTGACCTGTGTTACAACTGTACCTGGTCTCCCCTAAAGTTATTTCTGACTTGATGTATAACTGCAGGATTTGTAATGCTCAAGCACAGAGCCAAAGCATGTTATTATCCTGGTGTATTTATGTCAAGATTTCAGCAGAGAACGCCCACCCTACTACAGTTTACAAAGGCAATGATTATTCAGGCAAAGCATATCCCCAAGGACAGTAAAAACAGCTCTTTGGTTTGGTTAGCAAGCCTGAACGTTTATCTTCTTTTCATGGGACCTGTAAGTAACAATTTTTGGCAGCTGAAAGTTGTTTCAGGTGCCCGATACGCAATGTCACAGTTAAAATATTAACATAGTCCATTTTTTCTCAATATTTACTAAACGTGCGTCTTGAGCATCGATTTATTTTACTTTTTAGCCAATGTGAAAGGGTGCGCTTTGCGCAATGGACTAAAACGCATTCCTTTCATATTTCTTCCCGAACGTTACTTATAATCTTGTGTTACAAATTCACCAGAGTAGAAAATGATCATACCTTGTTGGATTTCTGTTTGACATAACCAATTTGGATTCTAATGGATAGCTGGAAGTGCTTGTAGGAGTGTTAATTAGATGATTTAGGTCAGTAATCATAGTTATCACAACACGTCTATAATTGTAGCCTTTTCTTCTCTTTAAAAAGCAGCCACATTCCATCCTTAAGTATCACAGATTCTATTCATGTGAAAACATGACATTTGTCCACACAGTTTAACTGGTTAGTCCCTGAATTGTGTTTATTCAGTTGCAAAACACACACACACACACACACACACACACACACACACACACACACACACACACACACACACAGAGTCAAGGACGTCACAAACGAGCATTATCAGTCTTGCTTTGAAAGAGAGGCCACACCACAGTACAGTCAATTCAGTGGACTCAAAGAGCATCTATCCCTAAAAAAAAGTCTATCTTTTGTATGTCTGATGCATTCGACCGAGAGGTTACACACAGCACAAAGTGCAAATGGCATGTGCTTGGGGAATCTGGTTTTGGCTTCCTAAACTGTCTCATCACTCAGCGACTTGCAGTTCAGCACCCGCGGATTTGTGTAGTCAAGGATTTTTGTTCACTAGTTTTTAAATATTCTTAAAAATGTGTGTGTGGGGTGCGGGGTGTTCCACACATTTCCCGTTTTTTTTCATGGAAAATGCATGTTGGATGTTTTTTTCAAGGATTTTTCAGGATTCCCCAAAATTATACCTTGAACGTTTGAGGCATATAATTGTCCAAAATGTTTTGTAAGATAAATATTTTCTGGTATCATTTAGAGGGAACTAAGAGGCCTAGTCCCAATTGATTAAATAAGCATTGTTTCCCCAATATTTTTGAGAAATAATGCAGAAGGGTCTTAAAACAAGAGCGCATATGTGCAAGCATGTGTTATAGTGTGCTTGTGTGTACTCACTAAACTGCAACACGGCTGTCTTTGCCGCATCCAAACCATCCTTAGGGTCCACTGTGTGTGTGTGTGCGTGTGTGTGTGTGTGTGTCCATGTGGCAGGTGAACCATTATATTCAGTCTGTCAGGCTTGCCAACGCCGTACACCACTCGAAGCCATTAAAAATGACACATTTCATTACGTAATCTGTGAGCACACTAATCAAATGAGTTCCAGTGAAGCTCTGACCGTGTCCGTGAGGCATTCATGAGAGCATTTATTTGAGTTGAGTCATCTCTGGCAGGTGAAAGAGAGAGAGATGATCCATGAGGGTGTAGTTCTACGCACTTACACAGCCTTTTCTATCTTTAACTGTCCCCGTTAGGTTTCTATTTTGAAGCCAAACTTTTAATATTGAGAGAATGACTCTTCATATGGGGAACACAATGTCGCTTGGCTCCAGGAAACATGATGATGATAATGATGATGATGATGATGATGATGACACAAAGGCTCCTCTTTGTCACTTGACCATGATGCAGCAGGGTGGTGCTGCTGCTCACTGTCGCACACACTCCCTCGCCCAGCTGTTTTCTTTTTGTTTTTCTACACAAAATAGACAAGAGGAAGTTGTGTGCGTAGTACAGATGGTATTTGGAACTCAAACCTGTTTAAATAGACTGAGGTTTGAAATCTAAACAACTACCACAGACTGTGATAAGAAGATATCCTTAATCAAGGAAAACTTAATTATTTCATAGATGAATGTGCACACCCTACGCTTATTTACTTATTTCTTAAGAATTTCAGCTGGGCTGTTAACTGACATTTTATTCGATTGTCTAATTTTCCACAAAAAGCACCATCTGTGGGCAGGAATCGCTGCCATTCTGCCTCCAGGCTACATGTACAACACATGTCCAACAATGTTTCCTGACAACACATGTCTTCATAGTAAGACCCCCTCATTTAACTGTATCCCCCAGCAGCGCTCATCTAATTAGCCAAGACTATCGCAGCACTGTTGTAAATATTTTTGGAAAAATTTATGGAGGCGAGGACACGAGGGAGATTTTGGATTCTAAATAATTTCACTGATAAGAGAGTTAGTAGGGATGCAGCGGGAATGCTGCACTGAAAAGCGACGTTCCACTTTAATCTCCAAATGATCCCCCTTGCACCGGGACTTTTTAACGCTACATGTAACTTACATTAATTCGACGAGCATATCACAATCAGAATCACAGGAGAACTGAATCATCTCAAACCATTAGTGTGGGGTCAATAACATTATGCCTGCCTAAAGGCGACGTCAACCCCCAAATTTTCTTTACAATAATAAATTTTATGCATGCCAACGATTCAAATGAAAGCATTCTTATTGGTATTGTGTTTGTGGGGTACGAGTTAAGCAGCAAAATTCCCCCGTTTCTGTCAATATCACGGGGGGGGGGGCATTTTAGCACTTGCTGTAGACTGCAACGACATCGCATTTGCTCAGGGCTTTAGGTAACAACCAATCATGGCACAGCTTCATAAAACAGGTGAGCAGTGTGTGTGGGTTTTCTCCAGGTACTTCCCCTTCCTCCCCATATTCCAAGTGAAGACTAAACTGACTGGGTGTAAATGATTGCTTCTCTTTGTGGCATGCAATTGGCTGGCAACCATGCCAGGGTATATGCCCGTTTCTTGGCCAAAGTCCCCAAGGGTTGGAACCAGCTCATCCAAGACTCCAATGAGGAAAAACGCTATAGAAAACGGATGGATGGTCAACTGCAACATATTCAAGGACAGAATGTTCCTGCTGAGCATACTTCATGTAAGCAGGATGTTCACATTGAGATATTGTGATTATTGCCCCACTGTTTATTTCATCTAAAACTCAGGTTCACACAGGGACAACATAGTGATAGCCCAATGTTAGCATTAATCGCTTTATTTGGCCATTGTTGCACCAGAGCTCATGAGTGTAAACAGTGAGGTGCATGAAAGACTGGAAAGAGCTTCCCCCCCGCATGCCTGTGGCAGAGTCGGGTATGCTTCACGGTTTATGCTTGTAAAAGAGCCATAATCATGCGTACCATCTGGGACTTGGGCTGGAATTCCCCTCGCATGGAGAAAAAAAAGACTGGTAGAACTGTGAGTGGCACGTAAGTTGTCATTCGCAGCGCCGACTTGAAGCTTAGATAAATAGACAGTGTGGAGTACACATTTTAGTCCATAACTGGAGCCTTGGCATGATGTTGAATTGACAGTCATGTGACTGATTAAAATGACAGCAAGGGGAAAAAAAACAACCAACAATCTCTGCTTCATCATGAAACTGCAGCTTTATTTAAGATTCAAAACTGAGCCACACTTTTTTTAATGGCAACTATTGCCCCCTAGTGTTACAAATAGGCAATGCTTTAGCTCCACTACAAACTCATGGCGTCCACACATGGATTCATGACACCAAAATAGGTGCTTATTGTATACATTATTTGCTATTACAGCAGCAAAGTGATTCTGGGCATCTTGTGTGGAGTTATAGGATGTTCTCTCCGTGTTTGCGTGGGTTTTCTTTGAGTGCTCCATTATCCTCCAACATTTGAAAAACACTGTTATATTCATTGATGACTTTTCCAAGTGACAGATCTTAATTGAATGTGAGTGTGAACTAGTGCTGGTCAACTAATCAACATTTAATCCCGATTTCGATTTGGGCATCTCACAATCCTAAAAATATTATAATGGAAGAAAAATTCTTAATGTGCTGAACGGAAAGATGTGTGTTTGGATGTTGCTGCATTGTGAAAGCACGCTGACGTGCCATCTTGCTTGTGCATCAAGCGTGTCACGAGTGTTAGTCTGCTTTCCCTGAGCTTGCCTTAAGCGTTTTCATTACACCTCAGTTGGAGATGATATAAAAATTAAACATTAGAAAACCATTTCCACACATTGTATATTTAAATATAAGACATACTCCATTTTACAAACATCGCCTGTGCTAATGAGAGCAGTTAATAGGGAATTTCATTCACCGGGTAATAGAAAAATTAGCATCAAGTGGGAGTGAAATTCCTTCAAACAATGAATATTTACAAGCAAACACTGCAGTACCACATCCAGACACGTACCGTAACAACAATTATTTTTCTTTGTGAGCTCTGAGCTTGGTTGGCAATCAATCCAGGTTGTATTAGGCCAAAGAAACATAATCTATTTACATACAAACTCAAACTTTTTTCTTAAAATGTAGGATGTGAATGTCTGGACTGCTAAACTCACTATCGTGTTTGCTCAAAGGGATTTCTTCACAGTTGAAGCTTTGTTGCAGCAACTAAAGGATGAAATAATAAAGGACATGACCCATTGAGTAGCAAGACCCAATACTGGATTTGTTACATATTCATGCATTTATATTTACAGCTCAAAGACATGGCTCTTACCTCAAAAAACTGCTTCTCAACTTTTGGGTTGATACCCTCAGTGCGTTGCTCATAGCAACAAATGATGCAGGTCTCTGGTCCACTGAGCAGCTTCAATGTTTCCACCAGCGGGGTAACTGACTTTGTGGGAATAAATGAAAGCATTTGAGAAGACATTTAGTGCACTGCTGCACGTGGATGTGATAAAATATGCAAAATGTCAATTTAGACTTCTATCTATAACAATACCTGTTTGTAATAAATGCAATCCGCCATCAGGACATAGTTTGGATGTGGAAGGAAACCAGATACATCTTCACCCCTGCGCAAAAGAACACCTCAGACTTTAAATGTGAGTACCCAAACACAGACAATCACCTACAATCAAGCATATAAACATAAAAAAAAATAGTACAAACCATTTCAGTACCTTGGCAGTTATTGATCCACCACTGATGAGAGCCTGATTGCCTTGAATGTTCACTTTCAGGAGGGTCTGCAAATCTTCTAAGTCTGTCACACTAACATTAGCCCTATGGGAGTCAAAACAATGAACCAGGAATTAAAAGACATTAACTGGGTAAGCCAATACGGAAACGTCAACTGTACACGGTTTATGATACTACAGGAGGTCTTTGGTTGACAACAGTTCCAATCGTAGGGCAAAATAATCCGATGTGTACATAAACGGTAAATTTTTATATGAAAAACACATTTACTCCATATCTATATATGCTACTCACCCCAATGTTGCTGCCATCAGACCAACGACCCCTGTTCCAGCTCCTAACTCCACCACTCTTTGGCCAGCCCATAAATTCACTCCTGAGGACGGATCGTAAAATTGTTTTGTTTCTAAATATTTTGCGAGAACGATGGCCGCATCCCACACCACGCAGCCCACGTCCCCCATGTAACATTGGCACACTGTCAAGAGAGAACCGTCGTTTTTATCGATTTGTCTCACAAAATAGTTGTGCTCTCCCTGCGCCGCCATGTTGGATAAACCCAAGCGGAAACGGAAGTTCACCAGCTCAGATTAAAATAATATTTTCTTTCATATTATTAAAGTATGTTGTCGCGAACGAATGCTGAGTTCAGGCAGGCGGTTGGTATTAAATCCGCCAATAAAAACTTTAGAACATGTCAGCAATAATATTTCCAACCTTGCGTGAAACGAGCGGAAGAGGCGAGAGGGCAGGCAGGCGTGCATCGGTCGCGCCAGAAAGTTGTTAGCTTCTTAGCTAGCATCAGCTTCTTCTCGGCGTTTTTGTTGTTATATTAACCTTTTTACTCAATTTAAGACTTATGTGGTACCACTGACTTGGGAAACATAATTCATATAGTATAGACTTATTACTTTTGCAATGTTTCGTAGCAGCACAGAAGAGATTGCCACTAGTGATACTTGCGAAAGTGGCCATACTTCTGAGGTATCTCCAGCTGAAAGAAGCCTTGTTAATGGAACCACTTCTTGTAATCCGGTATCAGCCTCCCCTGGTTTGTCCTGTCAAAGTCTGGAAGAAGGGAGTAGTCACTCCAGCAGTGGTCCATCACTTCCTCGCCCTGCCCCGGGTAACTGCTGCGTTAGGTTTTTAGTTCAAGATCGCACAACATGTTAGGTAGGCTCATGTGTATTATAACAGTAATCAATAAATCGGATTTTTCTTTTACTTACTGGTTTGGTTTGTCAGAAAGGACACGCCACACAGGAAGGACAAATCCACCCCACCTTGCATGTACCTCAGACAGCTCCTACCGCGGAGGAACACCAAGCCTAAGGAAAACCCCTGGTTCTGTGAGGGCCACACACCTTGCACGGACACCGGTGACTGATACTGGTACCGTGGCCCAAAGCAGTACTTTGAGTTCGAGGTTGTGTTGTATTTTCTCGCTTTAATTTCTCTTTTATTGCAGTTACAAGTTGCCCCTCTTCTACCACGGCTTCTGGTACAACTGTGGTTATAGCCTTGGTTGAAGGGCGCGGGTTGGCCAGGGGAGAGATTGGAATGGCCAGTCTTAACTTGAAATGTCCAGAGCTTGTACTCTCTCAGTTTGCGGACACTGGAACATATGCCAAGGTAATCTAGGCATTCACAAAAGCTGTTGTAGTTGTAATTGCCATCTTTGTAATAAAAAGATGCCAACCTGTACACTTTTCAAGGTCATAACCAAGGTCCACATTTTGTTTCCAATGGAAATACTGATGCCAGACACTGCTTGCGAGAAGGGAAAAGGGACAAAGCTCTTTAGTCTTGTCACAGAGAATCTCCAGGTGCCAATGCATGGACATATGTAGCATAAAAACTGTCAATATTGTACTATTTGGTACAAATATTTTTATTTTGTGTGTCAGGGTGTTGCATTCACTGCAATTCAAAGGAAATATTTTAATGAGAAGAAAGGCCTGGAGTATATCCAGCAGCTCTGTGCTCCAGAATTTAGCACTGTCCTGATGGAAGTTCAAGCAAAGTATGCCACTGAGTACAATTCTGTGCAAAAAAAAAAAAAAGACCTAAACTGTGACAACCATTTTATTACCAACTGTCCCAATTTGTGCAGATATTATTGCTTAGCAGCTGCAGCTGCTTTGCTGAAATATTTGGAATTCATTCAGAACTCCGTGTATGCTGCCAAGTCGCTGAAAGTGAGCTTTAAAGGAAGCGAACAGACGGCTATGATCGACTCAGCGTCTGCCACTAACATGGAGCTTGTGGTCAACAACAGAGACCACAGGTGCAGTAAGAGCGAGCGATGACCAAACATAATTTTCGATGTCATGCTTGTATTGTCACGTTTTTTTTTTGGTACACAGTATACAGTGTTTACTGTGCACGCACACAGGAGCGACCATACCCTTCTAGGCGTCCTTAACTACACGAAAACACCCGGTGGCGCCAGACGGTTACGCTCCAATATTCTGGAGCCTCTGATAGATGTGGATACCATCAACATTCGCTTGGACACGATACAAGAAATGCTGCAGAATGAGGAGCTCTTCTTTGGACTGAAGAATGGTACCAAAGAAACAATTTGAAAAAAACTTGAGTACAGTATTGTACAAACTGACAGAATTACCTGAACATTTTGACCCTGTCTTATTCTTCTTCAGCTATAGGTCACTTCCTTGACATTGACCAGCTGCTCTCTGTTCTCGTCCAGGTCCCAAAACAAGAGACAGTATGTATAGTACTTTTATTAGTTATTATGTCCTCATATAAACTGTATCTAAATTATTATCCAGTGAGTTAACAGCATTCAGATGCAAAGCAGAGGAAACAAAAATAGCTCACAGAAATGACCAGAACATACATTGACACCATTGAAACTTTATTTATATCTTTGTGAGAGGGAGTGAAAGTTGCCTGTGCTTGTGCAATCTTCAAGTATTGGTGGACAAATAGTGGCATACAGTGGCTTTGTGCAAGTGCCATTCATTTGCAGTCTGTACATGGAGAGGTGAGCATGTCTTGCTTTGGAGGGAGTCTCAGGGTCTCCACAATTCGCAAATAACCCCCAAATGGCCAATACAGGGGACGGAAATGTCGCTTAGTTGCTAGCACTGAGTAATAGCTTGTTTGTAGTTCTGTCGTTTGTGCATTGTAACAGAAGACCTTTGATAAAGACACTATTGTTCATTGTTAAAAAGAAAATGAATAAGATCTCCTTCAAAAAAATATTTTGGCGTTCACCATAGTCAATGTATACAAATTGGAAATAATTGTAAACTTTTCATTTTTGCCAGACCATTCTCATTATGAATGTGATGTTGATTGTAAATATACAGGTTCCAAATAGGCTTCTATGCTCTTATTTAATGTGTAAATAACTTCAGTGAGCACAGGCCAATGTATAGTAGTAATCGGTTGTTTTATACTATTTTTGTAGTTTCAGGTTGCGGAAGCGAAGATTACACATGTCATTCAGCTGAAACACACTTTGGATTTGGTGCCACAGTTGAGGGTTAGTGTCCGATGATATACACAAGTTAATAGCTCCAAAGTTATGTTTACTTATTTATTTTTTTAACCAGATAATTTTATATGCAGGTGGTGTTAAAGAACTGCAACACAGCTCTTCTTAAAGCATACAGCACTTCACTTGAGGACAGCAGGTCTGCAAGTGCTGTTATTTTTATTTGTGTGTGTGTGTGTGGGTGTGTGTGTGTGTGTGTGTGTGTGTGTGTGTGTGTGTGTGTGTGTGTGTGTACTTCTACTTATACAGTGTTTTGTGTCCACCTTCAGATTTGACATGATTTTGAAGCAGATCCTTACCGTTATTAATGACGACACCACCTACCTGAAGGGGAACCTCAACATGCGCACACAGAAGTGCTATGCCGTGCGGCCCAACGTCAACGAGTTCCTGGACATTGCCCGACGAGCTTATACCGAAATAGTGGATGACATTGCAGGTGGAGACCTCTTTTTTATTATTTTATAAGAGGCATGTATAATTTCTTTCTAAGGATGTTCATTTGAAATCTGATCATTCACAATGAAAAAAAAGTGTATCTTAAGTAAAAGGTGAAAACCTCAAAACAAACAGTTGGGGCCAGAATTATTCATTCTATTGGCAAAATTCGTTCCATGTCAAAATGATGATCTTTTTTTCAATAAAGGCATTTAAAATGCTGATTATAATGCCAGATCTTTTAGAATGGTGCAAAATATTGCATGCCCTCAACATTTGCAGATACAGTAAGAAAATGACTAAATCAATTTCAGAATGTTACAAACGGTGGACTGACCCAACTTCTTACAGTCTTTTGTCACTGTCTTATTTACTTTCACGTGAAAACACACATAAATAACATAAAAATAAGTTTTTAATAAAGTGGCTTATTTTTCACGGATAGTCTTGGAAGTGTTGATAGCATAGCAGTTGTTTCTCAGGACTAGTAAACCAGATGGCGGAGAACTATGGCTTTCCCATGCGCACAAGCTTCAGCACCGCTCGAGGTTTCTTCATCCAGATGAAGCTGGAAGGAAGGTTCTTGCCTGAGGGCAAACTACCTCCGGAGTTCATTAAGGTATCATCAGTGAGAATGACAATATAAGTTCCAATTTTATCTTTAATTCAGTAAAAATATTTTCTGAGTAAATAAAATAAATAAACTGCATGGCATTATACTACGCCATTAGTATCCTGAGTAATATCCATTTGCTTAATTTTGATTTGGTTTGTCCTGATGTCCATGATCATTTTTGTTGTTTCACAGTTGTTTGTTGAATAGTTGCAATTTGTTGCCTTGAACAAATTTATGAATTATCCAACATAAATAAGGCAACATAAATATTTATTGCCTGAGCATAATTGTTGGCATCCTGCATCTGTCCTGTCAGGTGGTCAAACACAAGGACAACTATAGCTTTACCACTGCCGATCTGGTGAAGTTGAACGACCGCTGTGATGAGGCCCTGAGAGAGATTGTTCACATGTCCTATGTGTGAGTAGAGCAACATACTCATACTCAGAACAAACACATATTTATATTGGGTGCACACGGTTACAGTAAAACCCCCTCCATTCCGGGTTTGCGGCCTCGGTGTTTTGCAGGGTTTTTTTGTGAATCACGCAGGTCACCAAAACAAAAACCCCACCCATATTTACTGATTTTGCCAATCAAAGCTATTGTGTTGGTAGCCACTGATTGGTGGTTCTGTAACAAAAGTCACAGATGTATAAGGGCTTAGAAGACCATATTAATGCAATTGTACGAAATGAAGATTTTCGACGGTCAATTTCAACACACGAGCAGGGGTTCTCAATATTAAATTACCAAGTTTCTAAGTGCCGGAAAAGTTTTCAAAGCTTCTGTGCTTTTTGTGATTGTTTCACCCCACCATCCACACAATGGGCTGTCTAGTTTGCCTCACTTCCCCCTAATTCCAAAACTGTATTTACGGGCATAAGGATTTATTGGGAATGTTTGGCAATATTGTCATTGTCATAGTTTCCTTTTAAAATGTATCTATAACTGTCTGGGTTATGCTGATGTGCTCAAAGTTTACATACAATTTTACATAGTCATCAGGCAAAATACATTGATTTCTATATTAATGGGATCAGTCAAACTAAGTCAAACTAAATCAAATCAAACACTAGGGTGTTTCAGAATAGCACAATTATTAAACAAAACATAGCAATAAAGAAAATAAGGAAATGGTTCCCACTGACTTAGTCATTACATTTTCCCAAAATATTGCCAATATTTTTTTTTAGGAATTCTGCCAGGGTATACAGTATAAGCTGAAGCGCAATCGTATCCTTGGTGTCTAACCTGCACTATGTGGCCCTCGCATGCAACAATATAAAATTGAAGGGTTGTCGCTCTCTTCAAGAAGATTGACTACACAAGACTCTGCTTTTCTTACACTAATCTTGAGCACTGAACTTGTCTCTTTCCAAGGGTCGTATGTCAACTGCTCGGCACTATCCGTGAGCACATCCATTGCCTCTATAAACTGTCGGATGCTGTGTCGATGCTGGATATGCTGCTGTCCCTGGCAAACGCCTGCACCCTCTCTGACTATGGTGAGCGTGATGCGTTGCTCATGTCTTGTCCAACTGTCACACTGTATACGTTTGATTTACAGCGCCTAGAAAATGTCAATGAGCTGGCGCTTTGACGGACCTTTGCCCTTTTTTCGTGGGCCGAGGGTCACAGAGTCAGTCCCAAAGGTGGCGAATTCAGACACTCAGTTGTCTGAGTGTCCACAGACACATGCTGATTTACAGCTCGGTTCTTCCCCTGCCAACATGTGCTCAGGTTATTTGTTGTTGTTGTTTGTATTTCAAAAACAATTTCCTCCAACAAATATCTGAAATTGAATGACTCCATACCAGAATGTTATTGCTTCTATTAGAATTCTTTGTAAACTGTATAGGCAATGTCATTTTTATTCAGTGACTGATTTTTCAGATTTTATTCAAATAAGTTAAACAAAGATTAATGCAACCAAAAAAAAAAAAATAGCTGCCGTTTGGAACTGACATAAGGAGACTGCTCAGAGCAAATCAATTTAATGTGTGGCAATTTTTAACTTTTAACTGCAATATATTTATTAAAAAACAATAATCATTGTGTCATTATTATGGCTGCACAATAAGTGAATTTTAATTGACAAATTGAACTGGAATCATTTGGTGTATTAATAATTAATCTAATCTTTTCTAATCGAGCGCTTTCGCAACCATTGGTGAGCCAACCACCAATGGGCAAACAAAGCTAAGCCTTAATTAAGATGCCTAAATAAAAAGCGGGTGCACCCTAAAGTGGAAGGCTAAAGTCACTTGGTGGACTAATGAGAGCGAGGCATGTCGAGAGAAGAAAGCACAACAAAAATTGGAGTTACTTCCTCAAAATGGATCAACATCCGTTTTCTGGACTTCTTTTGGATTCAGGGCAAGTGATGTTGGGAAATAAAATAAAATTTAAATTAAATTCTTATGTCTTGTTTTCAGATGAATTCTAGAGCAATGATCTGACCCACAAACATTTGGGCCATATTTGGTTTGAACTCCAAGTTGCAAAACCTTTGGGCCATTCAAATTCCACTGTATCGTGACAATTCATAAAGATTGAGTTTCTAACAGCTCCCCAAGATGGAAGCCAACTGGTCTCAAATGCCCCCTTGTGGCTATTTGATACATGATTTTGTGTGTGTGTGTGTGTGTGTGTGTGTGCGTGTGTGTGTGTGTGTGTGTGTGTGTGCGTGTGTGTGTGTGTGTGTGTGTGTGTGCGTGTGTGTGTGTGTGTGTGTGTGTGTGTATTGTTTTGTCATTTGCAAGTGCGACCAGAGTTCACAGACACATTAGCCATCAAACAGGGTCGTCATCCCATCTTGGAGCGAATGCCCGGACAGCAGCTTGTCTCTAACAACTGTTATGTCTCCGAGGGGAGCAACTTTGTCATCATCACAGGGCCCAATATGAGCGGGAAATCCACATATCTCAAACAGGTGGCACTGTGTCAGATCATGGCTCAAATAGGTCAGTAATTACGTTACAATATTTGAAGCAACACGCTGCTGTGATTTCAGGTTTGAGTGACACTACTTTTTTTTGGTTTGTTTTTTTCACAGGTTCTTTTGTCCCTGCTGAGTATGCTTCTTTCCGTGTGGCAGATCAGATTTTCACCAGAATTGGTGTTGATGACGATTTCGAAACGAACTCTTCCACATTCATGTTGGAAATGAAGGAGGTTCTCTACATTCTTTTGATTTTGTGAAAAAGAAACCGCTGCTTGATCAATCAACTTCTTCTCCTCTTAAGGTGTCATACATAATCCACAATGTCAGTGAACGCTCCCTCATCATCATTGATGAGCTGGGCCGTGGCACCAGTGCTGAAGAAGGCATTGGAATATGTCACTCAGTTTGTGAGTTTCTCCTCAGCCTCAAGGTAAAGCGCGCTGACATTTCTTTGTGAAGTAAGAAGATGAATGAGCCTATACTACAGTCTATATTATACACGTATACTTGCTTACAAAGAAAAATATGTTAGTTCTGTGGTGTTTTTTTATGTTTGTAGGCCTTCACCCTGTTTGCCACACACTACCTTGAGCTGTGCCAACTCGAATCTCTGTATCCCGGTGTGGACAACCAGCACATGCAGGTTCAGCACACACGCACTCGTGACACTGGCACTGAGAGCATAGTGTACACACACTTACTGAGTCAAGGATTCTCTGAAGAAAGACATTACGGTAAACAGTCTGCTGAATCACTGTGATGAAATATTTGTCAGAAGGGTGCAAACAAATCGTACTATTGCTCTGTTAGGCCTCAAAGCGGCAGAAATGACCTCACTTCCTTCGAGCATAATCCAGGAAGCAAAGACAATTGCCTCCAAAGTCAGCAAGCAGCTTTTGGTAGGCTTCATTCACTTGTCCTGGAAAGTATATTTTAGTACTGTACTGTGTGTCCAGCAATGTGTGCAAAAAGCAAATCATGCAATATGCCCCCCTGGTGTTCAATTAGCATCACAAATTCCCTTCAAATGTTTCTGTTCAAGTAAAATGTGTTTTGCACATTCATCCCAAGGCCAAGCGTAAGTGTGATCCAGAAACAGAGAGGCAGCGCGCTTTACACCGCTTGGCCACCCGCCTCCTGCAGACTGCCAGAAACTCCAGACTTGACCCGGATAGCCTACGCATGTATCTCAAGGGCCTAAGGAAGCAGTATGAGGGAGAGCTGGAAGCTATAGGGCTGCCAGTATCCTCTGACACCTAAAAGAGGAATCAAATCTTAGAGGAATGACTGTCCTGGATGTGCATTAAGTAAGAAAGTAAAAGGCTGGTGTCTTAAGTTTATTTAGACAAGGATGCACTTCCTTGACTTTTATTTGCCACAAATGTACAATAAAAATCTGGTGTAGAGAGAAAGTGAAACATTTACCACTAAAATACAGAGCATTCACAACATTCAGGAAAACTATAAATTTCAAATTCAGAAACATTGTTACCCAGGAAAAGAAAACAAAAGAAAATAGAATGTAAGTATTCTTGTGATTGTCATCCATTTTTATTTAGGGCATATTTATATGGATTTTTTGCTTACAAAGAAAACTATGTTAGTTCTGTGGTGTTTTTTTATGTTTGTAGGCCTTCACCCTGTTTGCCACACACTATTTTGTTGCAGTTTATATCATTTTGTACGCTTTATTTGTATGTTTCAATCATCTCATTAAATTCTGGTACTTGTCCTTGGGTCCCTCGAAAGTTGCTAAAAAAAATAATTGCTATTATTTTTCATTACCCACGTCCCATCATATCAGATCAGGCCCCAACATACCATGCCCATTTGATGCAGTGGCGATTGCTCTCGGACTGCAAGAGAAGCTCGGCTTCCCCTAAAATGTCAAAGAATCTTCTTCTTCTCCTGTCGGTACGTCCCTATTCAGGGGTCGCCACAGCGAGTCAGTAATTTCCATCCGCCCCTGTAAACCGTCCTACCAACTCGCATGGTCGTCTTGGCAAAAGTTTTACGCCGGATGCCATTCCTGACGCAACCCTCCCCATTTCTCCGGGCTTGGGACCGGCACCGGGGAACAGTGCACCCCCAGGGGAGGGCACTGCCCCCCAGCGGCTGGGTTCCTAAAATGTCAAAGAATAAGTGATCAAATATATGAATGTAAATTTCATTGTGTGTACATGTCATTGACTAAATATGCGCTACAACGTGCTCAACTTTTGTTCCGAATCAGCTTCTTCTTACTGGTTACGACGCGACTCCCTTCTCATTCATTCCTGTAGCTTTGCCGTGCTTTAAACGGTGGTCGCTGAGCGTCCGCAGAGAGTCTACTGCCCGGACGCCGAGCGTCTCGAGAGTTCAGGGTAGGTTGTCCCAATGCGTTGAACGGAGACAGTCATTGGATACAAGCTGTTTTTTTTTTGTCCCGCCCACGGACGCTCGGCGTTTCTGGGACTGGATGGCAGTGGGAGGGTACCGGACTCCAGGCTTTTCTGCATCAGATTGGATGATCTGTCTGAGCCTGTGTGCCAGTTTGATTGACATCAAAATGAGCCAATCACCGACCTTTTAGTGTAGCCATCCGTGTGAGCAATTTTTCAATTCGCATTCTGTTCTGAGTTGAGCTGGAGACTTCTCCTAATCATCTTAGCGACACTCTTTGTTGTAAACAACTAGCGACAAATTAATCTTTTATTTCTGGTGGGTTTTATTGTAGTTCCTGTAATTGTAGGACACTAATTAAGTCCCTGAAAAAGACGCCTTGTTGGTATGACGGTCACAGATCATTTTCTTGAAAAGGAACGGAGAGTAGAATTCACGTATAAATAAACGGACACATTTTATGATGTCGGCCAACATTGAGCTTCCCCTCTGACAGACCAGCATCCGCCACTGGTGTACAGTATATAAAAACTGAAGGAAGTGTTACATCACTATCCGGTCACGCATAATAAAGACGTTTTCACAATTACATTTGTGCTTGTTTTTCTCATTTTCATGGACACGGATAGACATTGTTTAAACTTTGACAAAGACGTCATAAAGAATCTGTGGCGACATAATGCAACACCTCCTCCTTGACGTTGACATTCACACGATTGAAAGCACAAGGTGTCTCTGCCGCTCGGTGCTGTCTGTTGAAAATGTTAGGAATTCGCAGCGACGCGGTCCGGTGCGTCTCGGAATGAAAGCAAGCGTCCCCTGAAGAGTTTGACCTGCCCATTGAACGGAAGACTGTGTTGCGTGTAGTGAGCGGAGCGCATCTGAACTTAGCCAGGCTGCTCTGGGAAGTGAGGAGGAGGCTGCTGGAGTCCCATCAACAGCAACGCCGTTTCACTACTAAGTCAACAGTCCATTCAACCCACAAGTAAGTTTCGACGAATTCGTTCACGTTCGTGTATTTATTTCATTGCATGTGAGTCGCGTGTCAGGGCTTGGCAAAAGCAAAGCTAGTTTACTTAGGCCTGGGAACGGCCCTTAGCACAGAAGCGGCAGAAGGGAGCAGACCACCGGGTCAGAGATTTCAGGAGGGGAGGACGAGGCTGAGACAGTGGCCGAGCCGAACCCATTGTCCACAAATGCAGTCCGCCTAATGTCTGAGAAAGTCTTCGTCTTTGTCAACGCCTTGCCGGTCACTATGATGGCCCAAGACTTCACTTACAGTCAGTCATGGGCAAGCCGGCTAGTGCTCTTGGCTAGCACGTTAGCCTCCAACGCCATTGGTGAGCTGAGCCTTTCACATCGCAGTGCTTGCGTATGAGCTTTAAAAAGTGTGAACGTGGTCGTCGAACTACTTGAAACTATCGAGTCGCCGAGTCTGACGTGAGGGTTCCATTGGCCTTCACGGCCCATTTGGCCACTGTGTTCCTGCCAATCACGCTTGGCAGAAGTTAGCTCGCGAGATTGCATCGGTTCGAATCTATAAGGAGCTCGAGTCTGTGATGGAACAGCTGAGATTCATTTGTGTTATCACTTTAGGTAGAATTGCACTCATGGGTACGCTCTTTGGGCACACCAGTAGTCATTTTCGATGGCTGACATGTTGGACGTCATTCTTAAAATACCTGCGATGTTGCCGCCCATGACCAAATTGAGACCCAAGCTAAATTTTATTTAGAGCCACCCCACCCACCTCTCCCCATCACAAATGCGTCACATGACCATACCACAACATGCCATTTGCAAACTTATCAGTCAAAGGCTGAATTTAAGAAAATGAACCTGAATTTTATGGATAAGTATTATAAAGAGTTTCAAAACAAATACGTACATACAAATATCTAAAGTGAACGTGCAAGTGTGCCTTTTTACGGCGCAGCACTTCTGCATTTTTGCGGTGGGGAGTGGGTAGCATGCAAAATCCCCTATTAGGACAAATGCTATGCAATCTTTTCATCATTGATACTCAGGATCGCCAAGCCATTTGAGCACTCTTGTGCCATTGGCGAACAAAGGTAAGTCTTAATCAGCTTAATTTTTGAAAAGCTCCACTCAGGCAACTGAAAAGGAAAGTTACAGCAATGCGGAAGGCAATCCAACATTGGTTAATAATAATAATAAACTGCTGCAGTTGCTATTACACCACTTTATTATTATAGACTATTATGCAAACACAAGATAAGATAAGATAAGAAAACCTTTATTAGTCTCGCAATGGAGAAATTCCCAATTCACAGCAGCAAAGTTATGAATGGAAGAAGTAGAACAACAAAATATAGGAGCTGCTGGAAAGGCAGCCACTCACGCGGCGCCATCTTGAAGTCAAAATAACACAACACAACACATTGGACACAGACAGTCGTGCAATCTTCACCACTTTCCTGCATACACTTTGTTGTCTGAAGCAGTTATAGATGAAAGAGGAGAGGATCAAAGTGTCCTTTTACCCACCCCAAAGCCGCGCCTCCCGGTTCCACATCCGCATCGGCGCTCTGCGCTAACGCTCCTTCTCATCGTCGGCTCCTCAAGCCTTGCATCCATCCAGCCGCAGACCGTTCAACAGCACCGATCTCTCCGCTGAACAAAGCGGGGCTGTGAAAATGCTGCCCATTATAGGCGCAAGACACAAGCGCCCCCGGAGCTGTCCAGCAACGACAGTCAAATGGCGCCGACATTCCTCCCAATCAAAAACAGTGCTGGCATACCCATGCTGCCGAGAAGGCAAAACAACAAGCCTTCTATTACTAACACTACTACTACTGTTAATATGACAGTAGCAACATAAATGCATAGGCTTCCTGGAACAAATGTAGTGGCCACATTTTATTTAAAGCCACAGTTTTTGTTTTGTTTTGTTTTTCTGCAACATACCCACCTTCAAGTGAAACAGGAGCTTTCTCTTGTATTGCTTATTTTTTTACCACTTGCTTGTTCCCGACTCATGGTATTGTTTGATGACATGTCAAGTCTTGCTCCTGAAGTGTTGGTTTGGAGCGCTCCCACTGATTGGTCTGCTGTCGTAGAGATGCCCGATAAGTTTTTTTTTTCCACTGATACCAACAATTTCTTGCCTCTCCAAACCGTTCTGATACGGATAACTTACAGCTTTTTGTTTGTAGGTTTACCTGTTGTTGCAGCTTCAAACAAATCCTGCTTCTAACTAATGTAGGGGCATCTGAGGTTGATATAAACAAGTACGAAAAACAACATAAAATTGCATGTTTCACTGCTTTCTGAAGTCTTGTCACTTCAGATGGTGAGGCGATGAGCAATCTCAAAAGCTCAGATACATATTAGTGCCTATTAAGATTGGTCCCAATTGGTTAAGATGTTGGAAACAGTCCTATTCACCTTAAAGCAGACATAGGATTCAGCCAAACTCTTAATTTCTATATCAACCATTAGTTACTCTTTGCAGCCATTGTAGTAGGTCCAAAGTTATATTATTCTGTTAATATTTTCCCACCACAACCTGTCATATGTTGCACTTTGGTCCATCGCATATTACTGATAATGCTCTTTTGCTTCCTTACTGTTCTAACTGCTGCTTTTAACTCCCAACATTTGTCAGTTGTCTGCTGTAATGTCATTCTTAGCAATTTAACCATTTTGACTACTTTTGTCTACTTGTGCAGTGATTGTCACATATAGCATAAGTAATTGCAGAATCTTTCTCGACCCAGTTGCAAATAACCTTTTGGCTGATTTTCACTACCTATTTGTTCCATTATCAGAACATGTGTCTTATAGGAAATTGTCATTTCCGTGGTCACACTTGATGTTCTAAATGTATTAACAAGCAATTTTATTTAAAATGCAAGTTACCGTTCTTAGAGTGGATGTAAGATAACTACACAGGCTCCTGATTCATCAAGGAGTAAAATCTCTTTAAGATCCTATTTCTGAAGCTGCGCAGTGTAATTCTGCACCTTTGCGATGAAGTGCTGCTTCAAAGAGTGGACATGCCTTTATGGGATCCTGTGTTCCTCTTCAGTTTTGAGGCTGTTTCGAGAACAAGTTGGCATTCACCTCATCACAGCACCCTTGCTTACCAGTCGGCATGACAATGGAAGCCCACGGGCCTTGAAAAACAATGGTGCATGAGTGCAATGGCTCACTTGCATGCGGTGGAACTGCTACTAAAACAGCAATTTCAACCGGTGCTGGGCGATATGGAAACTAATCTTCCATCTGATATAGGCCATTTGATGTCATGTTTACCATATACCACAATATATTTTCAGTTATTCTATATGTATTCTTTTTTATGTAGAATGGCACTGGATATCTACGACTCCCAGTACCTGCTCATCCTGGTCCCATTACTGGTTGTTGCCCTCCTCTTCCTCTTCTTCATGCTCTTCACAAAGGAAACCTCCTACGATGAGGTGCTGGCCCGGCAGAAACGTGACCTCACATTACCGCCATCCAAGCCAGATGCTCGCAAGAAGAATGAAAAGAAGAAGAGTAAGAAGAAGGAGAGTGCAAGTGTGGCAGGTGGAGGAGGTGGCGGAGGAGAGTCTGAAGAGGATCAGGGGGACTTCGAGGCAGCTGATGGTGCCCACAGATCCACCCTGGAGTCGGTTGAGGAACCAGTGCCCATGCCTGCAGCAGATCCTGTTCCACCAGCACCTTCTACATGTGTACCAGTTCCAGCATCAACCGAGGCTTCTGCTAGTTTGAGGGAGAGAAAGAAAAAGGAGAAGAAAGCTGCAAAGGCTGCTGCTGCTGCCGCCGCCACTGCAGCAGCAGCCGTCACAGCTGCAGCAACATCACCACCCGAAGAGACAGAAGTAAACAACTCCAAGCTGATGGGACACAAACGAGAGCCACCTCAAGTTTACAGTAAACAGCCCAGGCCACCTTCTCCACAGGTTGAGGTCCAGGTTCAAGTTACCCAGGCAGCTGCTGTGAGTCAGAGCCCCCAACAGACTTCTAAGAAGAAGGAGAAAAAGAAGCAAAAGTTGGAGGCAGGTTGGTTGCCACAAGAGCAGTTTCACACAGATGCAGAAAAGGTTTTATCGTTATTGAAAATACTGTGGCCACGGTCTGGGAACTACGATGGGTCAAACGTGCACCAGTTACATAAACAATGTGCCATTCCAACATACCCACAACAAGTTAAGCACTTAATCATTTTCCCCACCCACTCAATTAACAAAATTCACGCACAGAAGTTCATTCAAATTATAATGGTTGTTGAAGGCTTTAGAGTGACTTCGAATTCCAATCATACGTAATCATGTTGTGATTTAATTCAAATAGTCTACGTCTAATTACCTTCAAGTCAATTCTATGCCTTTTCAGCGAATGACCAGCATCCAGCGCTAATTAAAGTAGAGCAGGCATCAGTTAAGCAGGAAGCTCCTCATGTGGCTGAATCCAAAGTTCTCTCCAATGCAACTCCAAGTGCTCCCAGTGGAAAGAAGAGCAGCAAGAGACAGAAGATCGACCCCGGTACTGATGATGCACTTACTATGCGCAAAAGTGTCTTGTTATCAAGTGCCCATACTGAGTTCTGAAGATTGTAGTCAATGTCGGTTTTTTTTTTTCTTTTTTTTTCCCCCGTCCACTCAGTTGAGGAGTCCCATGTTCTGACAGACTCAGGAGCTTCTACCAACCACCAGACTGCACACAACAATGATGTACCATCTAAAGGAAAGAAACAGAAGAATGAGACGGACAAAGGTTGGAGCGGGAAAAAACAAACTTTACAAGCTAAGGTGTATAACTACTGCATATATTGTTTATTTTTATCTGATGGATTTGCAGAGAACAAGGAGGTGAAGCTCAAGGAGCTGCTTTCAGGTCTGTCCTCGATCACCCTGTCTGAAGCTGAGGCTGCCAGTTTGATTGCTGTCCTCCAAGAGAAGAGCCCAAGTGCCGTCGATGCCTGGCACAAAGTGAGACAATCAACAAATGCTGGATTTGAAGTATCAAAATGCGAGGGAAATCTGACTGAAGTTCTTTTCATGCTGTGTTTCCCCAACTAGTCCGTTGCTAAATCTGATCCAGCTATTCAGGAACAAGGGCGTCTCCTCACCACATTTCAAGAGGAGGCATCCATTGCAAAGGATAAAGTCAAACAACTCAGCCAGGTTCACATCCCCATGCTCCATCTCTTAGAACACCCATCATGGATAATAATTTGTATTCTTACACCTGTGAAACTCATTTGTGAAAAGCAACCGTGGTGTTGATAGTGTTGCACCAACTAGCAAGTACCAAAACCGAGCAGTTTTAGCTGGCAAAAACGATTCGGTACCGTCACTGTTTTTTTTTTCGTGTATACTAGTGATTTTTTTTTCGCGGTGGACGTAATATACCGTGTCAAAATTGTATGCTTGGGGGCAGGATTGAAGCCAACTCCTCTTTGTCCTCTTAGTCACGAGGAAAGGTTTGACTAATTCCCCTCATGAGATGAATCTCTCTGGATCTCTGTTGCCTTCGGGGATAGTTCGAAAACAGCCATTGTTTGTCATGGCCTTCAATCTAGCCATCTCTGCGGCATTTTGCACAAGTGGTTAGCATTTCTGCCTCCCAACTTTTGTGCTTTGGATATTAAACTGCCATGAGACAAAAAAGAATAGACAAATATGTAAAAAGGTAGAAATTATAAAATTTGGGGGTGGGGGGGTTGAAAGCATTTGGTATGGAGTAATCGAAAAGTAATAAAATATTCCTTACATTACTTTAATATTATGGTACACACACACAAGAAAACACCGAGATTGATATACTTGGTTCTAGCTGTTAATTTCTTGCTGTCTTGGCACTGTGCTTCAGGAGCTCCAGGTTTCGAAGCAGAAGACGGGTCGGGTGGAATCCATACTGCGAGAGCAGTGTTCAGCACTGGAGAAAGAACTGAGCAGCATGCAGGCCAAAGCACAAGGAAGCTACCAGGAGCTCCAGACCATGCAAATCAAGGTGGTTGTGTGACATTTATGAAGCCATTAAAACAAGGAATTCATTTCCAGGTTGTCCTATTACTGCGGTTATTACAATCAGGACTCAAGAGTGATATATATATATATATATATTTCAAAACTGTTACTAGTAAACTGTTAAATTTATCAAAAGCAGAATTGAGAGCGAAAGGAAAAATGTTGACGGAAGTTAAATGTGCAATGCGACCCCCATCTCTCTGGTGACCAACTTCAGGGCTGCACTGCTACGTGTTGAAGCTCTTAGGGGCAAATTAGCTCACACGTTTCTTTGTAAATGTTAGATAAAATAAATCAGTACTTTACCAATTATGTTCCCAATAGTGAGTAGGGTTCAAACTCACCACTCAACTCCTTAACTCTGTGTTGCTTTTAATCTGGGCAGTCATATTTTGAGGACACGACACAGCCAGTCATATTTAGAGGGCACAACACATCCAGTTCCGCTGCCTCCCCCCCATGACACTAAAGTTGTTTGCTCACATTATCACAGCAACGAGCGCGCAAGTATGGGCACGGTGACGCTATGAGCTGTACATACAATTTATCTACATGAGATTGATGAAGTTATTCGGAGTATCAAATGTATGTTTCACGTTGTGCAGTTCCAGCAGGTGAGGGAGCAGCTGGAAGGCCAAATAACCCGCCTACAGCAGGAAAATGGCATCCTGCGAGATGCAGTCAGCACAGCCACCAACCAAATGGAGAGCAAGTGAGTGCCGTACCAGAACCACTCAGCTCTTCAACCATGACATCGCAACTATAAAATGTTCATATAATTTGTGCCATGTGCGCTTGTTTGTGTTGCTTGACAGGAATACAGCCGAGATGAACAAACTGCGCTCTGATTATGCGGCGCTGATGATAGAGTTGGCGGACAACAATGCCAAGCTGCAGCAGGAGGAGCACCAGAGGAAGTCACTGGAGGTCAGCTACAAGCAGAACGTGTCTCAGCTGGAGGTACGCTGAAAAAAGATGCACCTTGCCCGCGCGCGTGTGTGTGGAGAGAGATGGATAGCAATATATAGGTGCGTGTATGTGTGTGTGTGTTTATCTTTTTCCCCCCTTGTCTGGATATATAGGTGCGTGTGTGTGTGTGTTTATCTTTTTCCCCCCTTGTCTGTCTCACAAAAGCACAAAGCTCCTCAGCTTACCGCCAAGCATTGTATGTCTTTCATGGGTGTGGATTTATTGGTGAGGGAATGGGAGGAGGTTGTAGTGGAATTCCAGAGGTAGGGTGTGGGAACCAGAACACATTTAGGGAGGGTTGTTGCTTTTGGACGCTGGGATGTTAGATGGTTTTGTCCATGTAATAACACCAACATCCTGTTTGACACGTAGACTAGCCTTTCCTGTGTTTTGCAGTCATGCTGTGTTACCTTCACTATTGCTCAGTATGGACTAAGAAACTACAAGTTAGAGCAAGCGTTCCGAATGGATTTCTCATCATTGGACAATACAAAGATAATGGAATGTTAATGTGTTGGAGTATTGGGACATTAAGCTCTCTCGTGTTAAATAAATACAATCATTTCTGAGATATTTATTCCAATCTGTCATTGTTTTCTCTTTAAATTATGGAACTTTTTTCTTTCTTTCTTTCTTTTTTTTTTAAATCATCAGGCCCAACTACAAGATGCTAAGCGACGCTGGGAGGAACTGCAAAACTTCCTCCATAGTGTCAATGCTGAGCGAGAAAAACTTCAAGCCTCAAAGCAAGGTGATAAGTCATGTCGCTCACATCAGGCATACTTCAGAAAGTTTAAGGCACATAAAAAATTACTAATGTGGTTCGTGCGGGGTGGGTGCAGAACTTCACAGTCAGCTGTTGACAGCGGAGAATGAGATGAATAATAAGAATAAAGAGCTTCAGACCCTGCATAGCAGCCTGACTGAAGCCATGGTCTCTAAGGAGAGACTGGAGCAGAGACTGATGGAGCTGCTGGAGGTGTCCCAGCACAGTATCCCTGATGATTCCATGCAGGCTCGCGCCCAGGTGAGTCACCCAAAATCAAGCTTTGAAAGAAGAAAATCTAGCCTGGTGAAGGAGATTGACTCTCTTATTGACAAAGTTAGTTGTATTAAATGTGCATATAAAGTCTTCCCTACTAATGCAGTCTTGCGTTCCCCCGTGTTGATTACGTGATTACAGTGCACAACGGACGGTTGCCTTTTCATAGCAATGTCTTCCACAGGAGCTCATGAATGAAAACAAAGGTCTTCAGGCCCAAAAGGAAACACTGCAAGCACAAAATGAGAACCTGCATGCCCAGATCTCAACACAGGTAAAAGCTCACTTGTACTTTAGCCCATCATAGTTATCTATAGCTGAGAGTGTAATTAGGCTAATGAGATTTTTGTCTTTTCACAATTTAGGCCAGTCACGTCTCCCATATTGAGGAGCTACAAAAGCTGTGAGACCATGTTGCTCTTACTTTGGCAGATTTAGTTGTATTCAATGTATTTCCTCAATGCGGGCTCATATATCCATGTACTTCCCCATTTCATCCAGACTGGCTGATAAGGAGTTGCAGAGAAAGAGCCTGGAGGATTCTTTGAATGCTGAACGGAGCAGTGGAGCCAGTAGAGAAACTAACATGCAGGTCTAGCAGCACTTACGGAAACCTTGCACTCTTATTTGTCATTAGTCACCCAATTTCATATTGTTTGAATTATACTGCACAGGCCTTGCACAATGACAACATCTCGCTGAAGGCAGAGATTCAGAGTCTGCGGGCACAGATTGCTGATCAGGTGTGTACCTTAATTGTGTTTGTCAGTGTTCCCGTGTTTGACCCACACCATCTTTCCTTTGACGTTCTACCCATGCAGACTGCCTCCCTGCTGGCTTTCGACCAGATCCAAAGGAGGTGTGTACAAATAAAAACCTACCTGCTGGAAAACTAATTATGAAACTATGACCATGCTTTGTCGTCAAATGATAACTTCATAGAGTTCCCTTTAACACACCTCTCTCTATCTCCTTCCAGTGTCCAGGAAAAAGAGGAGAACATGAAAACTGTCGAGAGCCTACTGGAGAAGGGGCTCATTGAAGTGGCCAACAAGGAAGAGGAACTAAAGGTGTCACTTACTTTTCCCCTGCCAAAATCACATTTGACTGACAGTGGCATAAGAGGTTCTGAGTTACATTGACTGTTTTATTTCTCTTTCACTAAATCAGACCGTGAGAGAGGAGAATGAGGCACTGAAGCAAAAATTGGTGGTACTTCAGGGAAAGCTGGCTGATCAGGTGAGTCGTAAATATGTAACTGATTAATCAGCAAGGGGCAGAAGTAGAAGAATATGGGCCAGACTGAAGGGGGAAAAAAATTACAAAATTATGAGACAAAAGTTTTAATATTATAGGGAAAAATGTTTTATGGGGGATGCTAATCTTCCTCGAATAAATAATTTTATAGGACATGCATGTAAAAATTGCAACGCAAATGAAGACATTTTTACCTGCCTTGCTACTTGTTTTCCCCTCCTTTTTCTGATCAAGTAATGTTCATCTCCCTTAATTGCAGATATCATCAGAGTCAATTGTGCAAGAACTACATAGCAAGTAAGACTTTTTTTTTGTGTGTGTTATGTGGTTGGCTTTGTGTGCAGTATTTCATATGCAGTGTCCTGAAAATTGTGGCACTGGCAGCTTGCTTAGTTGATTCTGTGTTAGAGCAAATTTAATTTTTAACCCCTATTAACAGTTCGACTAACAGGATTTTGAAATTATTAGACCTACCACACCAGTCATTTTGACTGCTTGCGCTCTGACAATGTGATCGCCCAAAAAGAGTTTACTCGCTTGCTTGAGTGTGCAAATGTATTTTGTTTGTTTATTAAATTTGCATTGCATCTTTTAACGTAAATGTCATATAAATGAATGAATTTATAGGATCCAGGAGAGGGATTTGAAGGTGAAATCAATGGAGGACAGTCTGCAGGCAGCACAAGACAGCTACTCAGCCAAAGCACAGGCTGCTGAGGTGTGAATTTTTATCTGCTTTATTACTCAAATGTATTTTTGTAGACTAATATTGTCCCTCGTGTCCCAGTTGCAGTTATTTTCTACGCCTGGGAAAAAGAATCTGTTTACTCATTAAAATGCCCACAAAAATTGCATTCCACAATGGTTTCTGTCTCGAAAATATAATAAATCATTTCAAAATCAAATTTGCGATGCCCCAAACTATATTTGGCGACTTCTGTGTTTTGCACGGACATTTGTTGAAGACACACTCAGTTTCTCAATCAGTGAGGAATTCCTTGGACTTGTACTCAAAGATAATAAAGCTTTAGAGTTGCTTTAAACTTAAATAAATTTAAAAAAAGACAAAAATCTGGGGTCGCTTGAAGATGGGAACATTACCGGAGTAGCCAATAACATAATTTATTCTAAAAGAGTTTGTTAGTAACCGCCCAAATATTTTCCCAGGTAGAGCTCTTTTCTGAAGCCAGTTTTGTCTCATAGGCTCTGGAGCAGCAGTTTGCTGCTCTGCAGGTAGCGATGGAGCAGCTGAGACAAAAGGAGCCATCAGAAGAACTCACCAGATTGTATACGCAGCTCCAAGTACTCCAAGCTCAGTAAGCAAACCTTCCTATACGCAGTGACATTCGCATTTGTGGGGAGCGCTGACCAATCAGACCTCTATAAACATGATTGTCATCTTGTCTACAGGCTCGCTGTGAAAGACCACGAGATCCAGCACTTACAGACTGAGATGAGAGAGAAGTTGGAGCAGGCACAGCAACAGGTGAGTGAGTCAAGAGTGAATTTTCTGTAATTAACCAGAAAAACGCAGGCTTGATCTTTCACCACACCTCTTCCTTTCAGCAAGCTGTTAGTGCAGTACCAAGCCCAGAGCTCCTAACCGCGTGAGTTGGCTTTTGTGCTCACTCAAATTTTTTTTAACTTAATGCTGTAAAGTCATCACACATGGCCGGTTGCTATGGCTCACAGGTTGACCGAGAAAGAGAAGCAAGTTACAGGACTGCAGAGTGAGCTATGTGAGCTGAAGGAAACTCTGGAGCTTCACAGAAAGAAAAACAATGTAGGTTTTCCTGCTAAGAACTACAAACACTGATCTGTGAGACGTCTGTCCCTGTTGTGGTTCCCTGCATCCAGCCCTACTGTGGAGGTGCACACCGCACACATCTGTCGCCCCCTGCTGGCACCATTCCTTGGTGTAATTTGCTTGCTTCCTCCCCCCCCAAACTGCAATCCTTTGGTATTCTTTACCGGTACGGTGGCACGCATCAGTGAAGATTGCTTGAGGTGCACATTGCATAGCAAGGCTTCCAGCCTGCTCTTGTTATGCACACCATTGGCCAGGACGATTCCTGTTAGCTGATTCAGAGATTTTCGGATCATTGCTTTGGTTAAAAAAAGCGCACACATTTGGACCTTTCAAGGGGAGGAAAAAAGGTTCAAATATTTTATAGTATAGGAATTTTTTATTCATAGTGTGAACTACTCCCTGAACCAGGTTAATTTTTACTTCTGATTTCACCCACACCCAGCGTGAGGTTGAGATCCTAGGTAGGGGCACAGCTGAAATGATTCCATTTACCATTAAAATCGGAAATGCATCGGGGTGCTCTTATATCCACGGTGTGTTTGAAGCTCACTGAATGGCTTTTCCCTGAGGCTCAACTGAACGTAGTATCTCTTTGGAACTGACCAAAACAGGAGCTCCGGGAGAAAAACTGGAGTGCAATGGAAGCTCTGTCAGCCACCGAATCCATGCTTCAAGGAAAACTCAACAAAGCTTTGAAGGTTCGACATCCAATCTCAGCCTACTTCACTCTGTAGCTCCAATCTGATGCATCCCCCCAAATTGCTTTTTGTTCTGCCATGACTGATTCAATGGAATGTTTCCCACCAACTGTAACAAAGCTGCATACTCATTTAGCTTGCCTTTTTCCTCTCACGCATTGTTTGGCTTTGAGTTGCCAATTGGATCTATGGCGAGTTGTGAAGCCGTGCTACTCATCTTGAATGAATTACTATTTCTTCATCAATGTCAGATTTTGCTCACCTATTGAGTCCTTTGAACCTCGACCAAACTGAAAATGTACTTCTTGGCACAAAGCTCAGGCCGTTGAGTGTGCAGACATTGTGATTCATTGCTTCCTTTTGCTTGCTCGTGTATTTGTCCTTTTGTCTCATTTCGAGCATGTTCTTGTTCCATCCGTCCTGTCCACATATTCACTTTGATTACATGCAGTTTTTCTGCCATGGTAGGTTTGTCAGTATTCATCGATTGTTTCGGTATGAAAACATTTTTGTACATAGGAAATTGAAGTAATCCATTTTGCGTTGTCTTACACATTGTAGCCCATGTAGTGTGACACACTCCACAACGGTAAAAGTCTGGCATGTCAGAATCGTTTCCGTATTGTGACGTTCTTTGGCATTGACCAGTAGGAAGACAATTCCCTCCTACTTATGACAAGAGACTGGACATGGTGCACACAATCACAATCTGGTATACAGGATCTAAAAAGTACCTTGAAATACATGCTTTCCAATACTGTATTTCCTCATTTGTTCAACTCATGTTACCTTTGATAACTGCAAAGGTAGTAGCTGATTGGCAAATGTGGCCTCTGAGCAAATTTGTTACCTCAAGTTCTTTTGGAGAATAGACGATGCATACTGCCCTCTCCCCACCATCCAGGATTGGGTCCATACTGCCCCCCCCAAAATAGAAGCCGAACCTTGATGAAAGCACATGGCGACTGCACAGGGTCTGGTCAGGGATGGACTTGTCGTGTGACATCTCGCCCGGTCCAAGACACACAACGGTATTTATCTAGTAGTCGTGACTACTAGATAAATATCATAAATTGATATTTACAAGTTCAATTTGTATTTGACCAAAAGAAAAGTGTTTAAGATTAAAGTAGTGAAAGTGCATGGATGAATAGGCCTGCAGGACGATATACAGTAAAGGGGCTATTATAAGCAACATTATAAAATGAGCTGCCATAGCATAAAATAAGTGTGAAAAAAAAGTGCATACTGCCCTCTCCCCACCATCCAGGAATGGGTCCATACATGATAAGCAACATTATAACATGAGCTGCCATAGCATAAAATAAGTGTGAAAAAAATAATTTTTGCCAATGACTAATTGTTCCAAATAATAAAAACCCCTTCGCGGTATGAAGTGCAATCCTAAACTGCTACAATCTAGACCACGACAACAATAAACATTTACTGTAATTCCTAACAGGTAATCTAAATTATCTTCATGAAGATAGATTTGCTGTCACCCTAATGTGGATCTCATAAGATTGTGCTGGTGTACCTAAGAAAGTGTCCAGAAAGTGTGGTCACTCTCCTTAGAAGACAGAGTGGGCTGGATATACAGTATCTTGTTTAGAGTTTAAGTAATGTGTGGATATTTTTGCCACCACTCCCTTTATAGCAAGGAAGGTCATGTGCCAAACCACTGACATTGCCATTGCTCCTGTGCCACCTCAGTAGATGCATACGGCAGACAACCTGCAGCTAGGGTGAACCTTTGCAGCTGCTTCACACTGTCATTGCTTGTATATCTTTTTAGGCCTGAGTAGTGCATGATGCTGGTTTGTTGTTCGTGGTTGATTGGAAGTCTTTCTATTCTTCAGTTCAAGTACGCGTTTGAGAAACTTTTAGAGGTAATAAAAAGAGCGCTTTGGTTCGGTTCAGACTGAACATGACGCATCGGCCAGTGTATCTCGCGTGCTTTTGTTCCGGTTAATTTGAGTGGAGAAGAGGGAGGGGCTCCTCCCTCTCCTGACCGAAGAGAAAAAAAAAGTTGAACATCACTGTGGTTGTGTTACCTGAGCTGCAAAATGCTGTCTGAGTTGACACTTCAACGGCTGTAAACAAATCAATCCGCTAACTTCCACACTCCTCATTCTCCAAACCTGCTCCTTTTTGGCTTGGTCCTGGATGGTATATGAATCTGGCTGTGTTCTCCTCGGTGCCCGAAGACTGCAATGACATTGTCCTACATTGTTTTCACCACGGTGTGTGTGTGTCTGTTGATGCTTGTTTTGCTGCGTTGTGTGACGCAGTAAGTACATTCTCGATGCCAATTGGCTGTCGGCGACGCGAGGCCACGAAAAGGTCAGAATCGCAAATCTTTGCAAAATGGGCAAAGCTGCAGAATTTTCGACTCACTTTTTCCTTGCCGGCCGGCAAGCTTTCGCGCCTGAACGCGCAAACTGCATTACATGTGGAAACGCGCTGCCAGAAACGCTCAGCTTGTCTTAGGTCTGACTACGGCAAATGCTGGTTAGTATATCATAGCCCACAATTCTAGTGAATTTGAAGAAGTTCAATTGGACTACAGAAGGAAATACCATGGATTATTGTCTTTATTTTCCTTTCAGTGATCTTATAAATCCAATATTTCAGAACCCACAGTATTTCGACTGAGAAAAGCATATAGTTTGTTCAATTCCAAGTGTTTTTCATTCGTTTTGCGTTTGAATTCTTGCAATGGTGTAAGGGCAACGAGGGGAGTCGTAAGATGATTGTGAGCCTCAAGACAAACTATGCTCAAAACGTTTCTACTTTTCTGTCTTTTTCCATCTCTCCCCCTTTAATGACCTTGTAGGACAACCAAGCGACACTGGCGTTGTCCGAGGCTGAGTGTCGCAATTTCCTGCACAGACTTTTGCCCCATGTGCCTCTGCCCAACGAACAAGTATGGCCCTTTATGACAGCCCTCTTATCAACTCCTCTTCCTGCTATTGTGACACCACAAGTTCTTTCTTCTTCTAGAATCATCAGGAGTGGCTCTGCAGTTTTGAGAAAAATGTCACAGCTGCACAATCTACCAATGTATCAGAATATCCCGAGGTACATGTCCAAAAAAGTGATAATCCTGAGCTATTCTAACATGCACAAGTGCCACATTGTTGTTGTTGTTGTATTTTTTATCCTGGCAGAAAATGGCTGAGAAGCTGAAAGAAGCTGAGGAAGCCCAAAGGATATTACAAGTTGACTGTGAGACATACAAGAAAGTTTTGGCAGAAACGGTAAATTAACATTTTAGTTTTTTTCTCATGTTAATGCTGCCGGGCTCAAATGTTGTTCCTGCTCTGTCCACAGGAGGGAATCCTGCAGCGCCTCCAGAGCAGTGTGGAGCAAGAAGAGTCAAGATGGAAGGTGAAGGTGGAGATATCGCAGGTGGAGCTGAGAGAGGTGTGTTTCCTTGGTTAGCTGGAGACTCAGCTTCACCCAGTCTTTCAAATATTGTCTACACGCTTGGGCTGAACGATTATGGAAAGTAATCAAATTTGGACCCCCCCCACCCAAAAAAAAAAACGCAATTGTAATTTTGATTTCCACAGTGCTATTTGGTGACATGGTGAGCACTGCACCTCAGAAAGCAAAGGAGTGAGTTGTCTCCGAAAATTAGAAAGAAAAATATCAACAAGCATGTTGAAGGTAAAGGTTGTGAAGCCATCTCCAAACAGCTAGATTTTCCTGTGACGACAGTTGTACATATTCAGAAATTTAATGTCCACGGGACTGAATCCACTCTCCGTGGATATGTCAGCAAAAGGAAATTGGATTACAACTTGGAGAGGTATACTGTAGTATGACTGGCAATCTAAGAGCCGAGAACAATCTCCAAAGAAATTCAAAATTAACAGTGCGGTCAAGATACATCCGTGTCAGAGTGCACTAGCTGTTGCCAATTATGTTGTTGTCAGCCAAAGCGGACTTCTTGGGAAACAATCAAAGACCATTGTTGTAAGCAAATCATCACAAAGTTTGACTGGCATTTTTCACAATTATTTTATTGGGTTTTTTTTTTCGTAACAGAGTGGCACCAACACTTTTTTCCTATGTGTTGATAATTATTTCTCTTACCTTAGATGAGCCAGAAAGTCACAACTCTGGAGCAGGAGATTGAGAGACTAAGCGAAGGAGGGGAGTTGGAAAATGTCAGTCCCTTTGAAGTACTGTTACGACTTCATGTTCTTGACACAGCCATTGTTAAAATTGTTTTTCAATCTCTAGTTGCGAAGAGAAAAGCAGCACTTGGAATCAGAGTTGGAGAGGGCAGAGCGTGAGAGCGCCACGTATGTGACAGAGGTCCGAGAGGTAAGCAAAAGGGCTGAGTCGTGTGGACCATAGAATTCATTTGTTTGCTAAAGGATGTGCGATGGTTTCGTTTCATGTTGATGAGGGGGGGGGGTTAATTTTTGATGGCTGTCATTTGAAACCTCGCACAAACTCATGTCCAAGTATTTTTGAACCGCAAGTCCTACTTGACTTAAGTTTAGAGACCCATTTGACAGTGATCAAATTCGTCCTCAGTGCACCACAATCTATTATAGGTGCCTTTTTAGGCAGACCACATCACACCACTGTCTGGACTGTTTTTAGGACTCCGTAAACACATCCTCTCAAACTTAATTTCAGCTCAAAGATCTGTTGACTGAATTGCAGACCAGACTTGATGGCTCATATACAGAAGCCATCAGGCAGAATGAGGAGCTGAATTTGGTAAGAGTTACACGCCCGTCCAGCTAGAGATCCTTTTAAACCTTCCCCTGTCGCACTCGGGCCAGGTTCCATAGGTCATCATTCACAACCTCGCTATCTTGCTTACTTTGCATGACAGTGTTCATTTTGGCAGCGTCCTGTTTTCTATTGGGGACGTAAATGTTGCTGCCTTTCAAAGGAGGGGCTATGAATGGTGACTCACAATTAATTAATCCCTTTTAAAACTAACTCTTCCCTTTCAAAGCCATCTAGGTGTCTCATCTTGTACTGGTCTGGCGCCTAATATCGGGATTACTCATTCCCTTCACAATTAAGATGCACACTATCATCCCATTCTCATTTCTCTCATTGGCTTTATTGATTATCCTGCCATTATTGCCGGTTGTTTTCAATCAAGCCAAGTACAAAGCACTCACAGCACATGAGAACTGTAACCTCATTTAGTTTTGGTAGTAGTCATAAAAATGGCTTGTTGGTGAATATTATAAATATAGTAGTTTTGGAAATGAGTTTGAGCATTTTAATGGTATCTTATTTAAATGTCCTACACGTCATTGTCAGTGCAGCTGATAAACTGCAATTACAGCAAGTTAATGATGTTAGCACCAACTTTGCAAGTTTGAAGTAATATGTGGCCTCGATTGAAGTGCCATTAAAAATGCTCCCTTTCTGGTTTATGTTACATTGGTAACATAACTGAGCTGACTGTTTTTTTTTTTGTTTTTTTTTAACTTGCAGCTGAAAACTCAGCTCACAGAGACCCTATCCAAATTGGAGGCAGAAGAGAATGAGAGGCAGCAGGTTGCAGGTGATCTCTACAAGGTAAGAATGATCAAAAGACTGTCTTGGATTATGGTCTGTTAAACTACGAGCTTTTTTTGTTGACCTTTGGATCTTTTTATTTTGCACTGCAGGCCCAGCAGTCTTTGGACCTGATCCAAGGGGAGCTTTCCAAAGTGACAGACAATGCTGATGGCCTGATAGAGAACAGCAGTTTGTCCTCACAGAGAGTAAGTTGGTGTTTTCCGTGGATAGTGGGAAACCAAAGTTCATGTCATTTGGTTTTTCAATAGAAAATAATGGCAGTCTATTCCAGGGTCAATTTGACACATTTATAAAACCTTTATTCACCATACAGGAAAATTTATCGTCTTAAAAATCATACAGGTGTTAAAATAAATTAACCAATGGTAATAGGTATAAAGTTTTACAGTGACAGGTGATTTATGCACCTTACCAGTCTCGCTTTTGAACTTTCTTTAGAGTGTTAAAAAGTATGTCATTGTTCATGATAAAAAGACATATAAACAAAACATTCAACACATGACACAGGTGTGTCGAATGGTACATGATGGCAGTCCTTTTAAAATAGGTGTTGCCAAAAAGACAAAGAAAAAGCTCAACTTGGTATCAACGTTATGATTGATGTCTTGCATGCAATCATGCATAACCTAAGTTACCTGAAAATTCCAAATTGTATGACCTTTGTGGCAGTCCACTTTCGATACTTCACTCACAATTACTTGGGAATTTCAATTCTAAACCATCACATTTTTGTCCATCAGGAAGAGCTTGACAGAAATGAAAAGATGACGGCAGGACTTAACCAAACAGTCCAGGAACTGCAGCAGCTGCTACGAGGTGTCAGCCGACAACTCACCAAGGATGCGGTAAGATCCCTTCCTTTGCTTTGTTGATTTCTGGTTATCATTTAACATGGCACTTGAAATCACTTGCAATGTTCTCAGGTTGCTGACTTGTAAATGTATATTTGGGCTTTTCTAGGAGGCTGACAAAGATGTGTTGAAGGTATAGCACGCAAAAGACGGACATGCAGCCATCCGGACCGCACGACACATACATCACTACATCCGCTGTCAAACAAGGGAACAGGCTGAGGTTTACTGTTAATACCAAACACTCCACCGTCACTAAGACCCCACTCAACCACATTCCTCTACAGCAGCAGCATCACAGCTTAATTTGTATCATAATCTTGTTCCATCAAGGATTATCTACTCAATCTGTATTGTTTAAATTCAGTCTTTTTGAATACTGAGTTGGTTACATGTCACACACGTCAACAGGGCACTGGTAAGAGAAACCCCAACTAAAATTTTTTTATCACTTGTTTTCCTTAAATTAAAAAATACGTATTGTTTTAATGTACTGAGTTCTGTATTTCATGATCTGTTTCCTTCCCCACCAGCTGTGTATCATTAGACTCTTAGAACACATAAATGCACCTTGATGTGAGTCTTTACTCATTTGGAGGTAGATTGAGAAGTATATCAGTCACTGCATATGTGTTATGGAGAGATGCAGGAGACTAAAACGCTGAAAGAGAAGACAAGGTCAACAGTGTACAGGTTTTAATTCTACTGTAAGGACTCGAGGAGAGAGTGTCCCATATTAGTAATCAACACTTGCTATATTGTTGGCTGAGTTCATTAACACTGAAGAGTTTGTTCTTTTTGTAACAAGTGATGTTAATAAAAGGGATGCTTGATAAATCGGTGTTATGCTGCCTTGCTCCCATTGCACTTAATCTTTCCTGACACAAGGGGTCACCACATATCCGTGAATGCATTTGAGTTCAAAACCAGAGTCAATGTCAAATTGAATGTGACGCCCCTCTGTCCAATAAATGGGTGTTCTATTGGTCAATGTTAAGACAAGTTGAAAGTTTCACATGCTGGAAAATATCAGCACGTCTATCCATTTTCAATCACACCTGTACTCATTCAGGACTCAGATGAGCTTATCCCAACTGACTTCGGCAAAAGACGGCGTGCACCCTGAACTGGTCACACGCCGATCACAAGATATATACAAACATTGACTCTTCATGTGTAGATTCTCAGTCATCCGGGTCATGCTAATCCACAAACTTTGAATCGAGGCAACTAGACTGGTTCTTGTTTGTTGGACCTTTCACTTTCATCCAAAAGTCTTCAGTCCTAAATTTTCGGGGTGGAGTCAACCCTTTTTATGCATTGTGGGTGTCCCTGTGGTGGCTCAACAATAGGGTGTTGTCACACCCACATTAACACCGACAGTTAAGAGGAATGTTTTTTGTTTTTGGAATGATGAGGAACAAAAACCCCAATCATGAGGAGAACATGCAAACACTAGAAGACCTATGACGATATCACCCGCCATATTCTATAGGGCGAGTCTTCATTACAAACGGATGAGTAGGCACCAATCCCAACTGACTTGGGGCAAGAGGCAGGGAACACACGAGATTGGTCAGCAGCCAATTTCAGGGTACAGTACACAAACGAACATTTCACACCTATGGACAATGAGACCTCAGTAAACCTAATCTGTTTTGGGGAATGGGGGAGAAACCCCATGCATATTTGAGTTTATGAACAAACTCCGCAGGGGAGGGCCTGAGCTGAGATTTAAACCTGGGACCAATGGCTAGGCAGATGCCAAAGGTCATAACAGCTTTTTTTTTCAAAGTTCAGAACATAAATAGACAACATGAAAGGTCGTTTGGGTGCTGAGGGCAGGAAAGCTTATTAAGTACAATTAATGAGCTACTGTACGGTAAATTGTGTGTAATCTAAATACAAAAAGACATCAGGACACAGTAAAGGAGCAGTGTTGCTCCTCAACAGGGCGTTCTACCTTTGAGGCATGTCTGTTGGGTTGTTTTTTTTTGTTTTTTTTTCCTTTGGAATGTTTCATTTCTCTTCTGCACTTAATTTTTTTCTTCAAAGAATCAAGTCCTTCAAAAAATGTACCAACAACAGTGCTGTTGTGTTAACTAGCCTGGGTGGGCGGCCCAGGGGCGCATGCAACATGGGATCAGCACATTCCTTACATTCCCCCACATTGTCATGCTACAGTCAGCTGATTGCAGATCATCTTTTGCCTTGATGGAAAACTCTCGAAGGAACAGTTGGCCTCTGGATCCTTACTGACTCTGCATTTGAACATTCCATGGCAAACGACTTTTTTTCATTACATGTAGTCACAAAATGATCCATTCAGTTCAGAGAATTGCAATGAAACCATATTCTCACAGTTGTCCTACTTCACACATCCCAAGTGAGAGGGAATTTTGCTTGAGGCATGTTACTGAACGGTAAATGGCCTGTCACTTATGTAGCACTTTTCAACCTCGGGTACTCAAAGCACTTTACATTGTTACCTACTTCACCTACTGACGACGCAGCATCAGGAGCAACTGGGGGTTCAGCATCTTTCTCAAGGACACTTCGACATGGTCGCAATGGCCGGGGATCAAACCATCAACCTCTGCGCTGGGAAACGACCACTCTACCATTGAGCCATGCCACCCGTTACTGACTCATCACCTTTGAAAAATCGGACAAGTGAGGCCTTGCAATCATGTTACCACACTGCTCACACTCAATTACGTAATGTAGCTGGTCATGTTAGGCCTATAGCAACCACAAGTGGCTGGTAACATTTGGCTCCTCCCTCCCACTGACTGAGCGCAGATTCAGCAAAGTGAGCCCCCACCCTGCATCTGCTCTCCATCAGTGTGGTATGTGCTAGAACTTTGATCAACACACTTGCATATACACACACACACACACACACACACACACACACACACACACACACACACACACACACACACACGCAAGCTATGTCTGTGTGTACGTGGGAGGCCAAGTAGGCAGATAGAAAAAGACTATTGAGCGCTCTCACAGGGACAATGCCCAGTGGATGAAAGAAACAAAAGAGCTGTAAATACTCATTGTAATCACAGCTTTGTGGTCAGCCCCAAGGCCTGCAGTAAAAGGTCTAAAAGCACATTCATCCTTGTAGAAGGGGCTAAAGCCCCCTTCTTGGTCCCATCAATAAACAACTGGATCAAACCTGGATAATACATGATAATGTATATGTGATCATGTGAAGTGGTTAAAGTTTGAACACAGAGCAGGGTGGGCATCGGGGACCAGTGAAACTGAACACCAGTTCAAAGGGGAGCCAATAATTGGGGGTAGGAGGTTGAAGGAGAAATGGCACCTCCAGCAATGCAGATTCTTGTGAAAACAAGGTGGGACCATAAAGCGTCGATGAGATTTCCAGACAAAAGGTTAAGTGGCACATTTATCAGACAGGCATGACAAAACGAGTCACGAGGGATGTTAAAAGGGCCAACACTGGAGGTCACTCAGAACTAAATTTTGATGTCATTATCTTTGATAAATCATCAAATCCATCGTATGTTACAAAGGAGGTGTGTGGGGAATATTAACATGATATGGTTTACTTACAAAGGAGGTGTGTGGGGAATATTAACACGATATGGTTTACTTAATTCACAAATATGTCCTTGCCGCTGTAAGACTCTGACACGCACTTTCAACTATACAATGCAATCAAAACGCAAATAAAAATTAACATTTTGAATAAGAGGTTGCTACATATGGAAGTAATTACGAAAATGTGCATATACGTGGTCTTGGCTGAAAACACGATGGTTAAGAAAAACACCTTTTAGATTTTAAAAACGATACTGAATATTTCGGGGGGGGGGCATACCTATATGACGTGGGAAACTAGTACTGCGCATATGTGAATACAATTTAAATTTTGGTTCGTTTCAAGACTACCCAGATTGTACTCTTTGTTTACATAACATAAACTGGGAGTCACTGACCATGGCAGGGTGTGTGGTAAGGATACCTGCGTAGTTTATATTGGCAATATCGTCTATTTATTGCTTGATTTGTGTTCATTTTTTACTATCAGGTTTACCTGAAAACACGAAAAGCAATTCTTTACAAAATTTGGTTCAAACAACCTCTTTAAAAAGAGTCGATAAGAACTGCATCCCCCTGTGCAAAGTGAAGAACAAGCTAATGGTACATTCCGGCCCAGCTCCTAGCTGTTTTTGTATCCGCTCCAGAGTGGGTTCAACCGCCAACTAAGTTACGCTTTGCCATGTCACCGAAAAGAAGTTAGAGCCTGCATTTATTTGATGAAAAGCGGATGTTCGCTGGCATTCCAACACCCGCCGTTGGATGTATGACATTAACTAAGTGTGTGTTCGAGCTTTTCTAAAGTAGACCCTGGCTATATTTGCGCTGTTGTGTCTTTTCGTACACAGTGAACGCCACACAACGAAGCTACAAGACTCATGTTTTCGTCCAGCCAAGAGGAGCACTGCGCCCCCTCCAAAGACCCAGTTAAATACGGCGAGCTGGTCGTTTTGGGGTAAGTTCGGGGGAGGGGGGAACAATTCCTGTGTTATAATTTGATGGACAGCGCTAAAGCGACCTCTTTACGCGGAGGAAGTTTCACAAGAATACTCACGCCGTAGCGAACAAACTTCGCTCGACGACTTTACTGAAATACCCTTTTTAGTAAAGAAAACGCTACATTTTACATTTGGCTTTTAAGACGCCAAAGCATCGTATGGTCATGTTTCTTTTCAAACGGACACGTGTGTTTTTCAGGTGTGTACATTGAAATTGTCTTTTTCTGGGTTGACGTTTTACGATGTTTTGTGGGTCTCTGGTGTTTTGAGACGGATTAACGGACTGCGTACATAAGTGTGGTCTGATAACGACACGATATATACGAGCCGCACAACGTTGGTTACCCTGTGGATTGAATGCCACGCTTCCCACCTAAGAAGTTATACTCACGGGGTTTCAGGAATTCGGAAGTGGAGATGCACCCCCTCCCCCATGCCCCATAGTTCTTCCCCATTTTTAGCTCACTACTCACTCACTCACTCACTCGCTTACTTTCAAGGCATTTCAAGTATGTGATGTCTCTTTCTGAACACTAGGGGCTCTATCTAAAAGGAAGTACATAGATATTAGATGAAGAAGAAATATGGGGCAATGAACGTAGTCTGGTGTGTATAGAGGGGTTGGGGTTATTCTGCATATTCCACAATGCATCGTCGGCTGACATATTGGAGGGCAAGCCCTGCTAACTAGTGTCATTTGTCATTGGTCATACCTTGGGCGTGTGTCACTGTTGTCTGTAATAGTCGTAGGGAGAGGCCGAAAAGGTTTCTCCAGACTGTCAAAGTGATTTGACGCCCAACCAGAAGAAAAGCGAATGATGAAGATGAATTTGGCTGTCGACCCATCTTTTGAACTGTGAGCTTTTGCTATGGTTGCAAGGCACAAACATCGCCGTCGGTTAGCATTCTCAAGAGAACTTTACATTTAAATGCACAATATTCTGTTGTTTCCCGTCTCCTCGTTAATAGTTATCATAAGCGGAGGTTTCTTGTTTAATCAGTTGTTTTACATGCCAATTTTGCATGGAACAATAGCTTGGAGTGACAAATAAACAACTTAATGTAAGAACGTTTTGCCTCTTAATTGTAGAAGTAGTTGTGAAGTGCCTGACCACAATGAATAAGTCTTCAATGTATGTTAGATGAGAGCACGCGGAGTTCATTTGTCTCCCTCGTCGCAACACTGTAAAACATGACTTTGGATGACTCCTACTGTAAGACTATTGTGCACAGACACACAGTATATCTAATAATTGACAAGATAGTCACCCTGGGCAGTACTTAATTTCGAGCCATCAATCTAGTCTTGCCGTTGAAAGTTTATTAAGATCGAAATTTCCAATGAAACGCTTTATACCATTGACTCGCCTGCCTTTCTGAAGTGCCTGTGTACTTCTCTATTGCTACAGATTGTCAAAGTTTATGAAAAACTCGTAGTCTCGTAAATTAATCTAAATCTTTACACTTAACAGCATACCAGCATTTGCAATGAAAAGGAGAAGTTGCCTAACACTATGGTCAACTGTCTCGGATTGTGGGATATGTTACTATTTTTAGCACAAAGGTAGAATCCCACAATATAAAGATAAATATACGGATGCCATATTACATCTGTGTATCAACTGCAAATAAAGCAAGTAAAAATACAAGACTGCTTCTTTAGAGTAACACGAGTTATAAAACTAAAGTTACGGGACAACGCAAATGAGTTCATCATCCATTTTGCAGAACATGATTTGCAAACGGCTGTGTTGTCACCAGTATTTATCATAAACTACCACCACACCCACAAGACTGACATAGCTCCATGTTCTTTACGGAATATATATGCGAGTACTACTTGTAAAGTCGTGTCAGTGTGAAGCATCTTTTTTTTGCAAGTCTCCCGAGTACAGATGTTAAGTATTGTCCATCCCGATTTACTTAATCTTTAAAGTAGGGTTGAATGATTTTGAAAAATAATGTAATGGCAATTTTTTTTTATTTTTTAGTTCGTGTTACTTATAGAACAACGTTCTCTGTGCAGTCACAAGAAACATAGGCTAGTAATAATATTAAGTTGAAAATATGATGACACGTTTATATTTAATATCATATTAGGTCAGGAGTAGGGAACTCCAGTTCCTCGAGAGCCATATCGTGCCAGTTTTAGATTGCCCTCTACTTGAGCATACCTGATTCAAACGATCATCTGATCAGCCAGCTCCGTTGAAGCTCAGAATTAGAATTAGCTGTGTTCTAAAACGGGCAGAATATGGCTCTCGAGGAACCAGTGTTCCCCTTCCCCTGTATTAGGTCCTCATGTGCTGCAGTTTTTTGATTTATTTTGTTTTTTATGGCTTGTTGAAAGTGACACCGTTGTTCTTTTTCGACACTGGGATAACCATATTACCGTAATACTGCCCAACCCTACCAACACACATTTCCATGTGATATGACACGAAATATAATACCTGAGGTCCCAGGCTAGCCAAGGAAGTCCTGAGACTTGTGAAAATAAAAATAGAACAATAAAATAAGTTAAAAAAAGATATAGATAGATAGAAGTCTCCAGCACGACCGTGACCCTCGTGAGGATAAACAGTTCGGTAAATGTATGGCTGATCAAGAGATAACGACATGGTTGTTTAAGGTTTGAATGTGTGCAAGGAAGCAATGCATCAAAGGTATGGCTGCAGCAGATGAATGTGGAGTTCAAAGCTCTCCAAGGAATTGAAAGCAAGCTGCAGAAATAAGGGTGAGGTGCATGTGTTTACATGTAGTTTTCATCCTGGCAGGTAGATGTTGCGGTCAGTCAGGTTATGTTTACACTGCAGGGTGTGATGCCCAATTCAGACTTTCTTTTTTTGTTTTTTGTTTTTTACAAATCCGCTCTATGTTGTCATTCACATTACCGTACCAAAATAAATGCGTCCTCTAATGCGAACTGAACGCGTCCATGATGTCATACGCATGCGCACAAAGCACGACGTCAAGGGCCACACGAAAGACGACGAGAAACGGCAGTAAACATGACCCACCATTTAAGGGCTCTTTTTTTTTATCATCTTGTATCGACCGTGGAGAGATGTGGGAGGTGGTGGAATTTTTATGGGAAAATGAGGCGCCCCTTATCTTTCACTCCATTTCATGGAGATGTCCAGTAAAGATGACGTCACGTAGCAGAGACGTCGACGGAAGACGACGGCATGTCATTGCTGCTCAGTAATAAATGAACTGGTTGATTTACATTTATTATAACTATGCAGTATGTTTACAATATCCAGGTCAAGTAGCTAGTTTACACTTAAAATCTTTGCTTCATGATCACTTGTTCTTCCTCAAAACCATAGTGTGGTGAAATGGTTTGCACTTTATAAGTAATGAAAATAAAATCTCTTGTTATCAATAGATCTGCCCGAGAGGGACAAAGAGAATGCTGATGTTGATTATTTTATAACCACAATGTTCCACGCTGTTTTGGTTTTGTAGAAAATTTCCGAAAGGAATTCTTTTTTCATTAGTACATTCATTTGCTTCATAACTGGTCATTTTAGGTCATTTGTTAATGTCTGAGGAAAACTAACTTTTAAAAAAATATTAATTTTATTTATGCCTCTATTATGCCATTACATAATGCCCCCCCCCCCCACGGTTTCCACCCTTCTAAACATTTGTTACATTTGCAGAATGTAGAATAAATGCTGAGCTGCTGATTCTAGGTGACAAGCTGTCTAATTTTCATGATCTTGGTTTTTGTAAAACAAATTTCCCCTCAAAAAGAAATTTGAAATTTTTTTCACTAAGAAGGAAGAAAAATAGCAAGAAGACCAGTGCATTTTTTGAAAACTCAATTTCTCTATTTGCCCAATGGTTGCATTGAATAAGCAAGCAAGTTATTTTTGTAAGGTGCCGAGGGCCACGTAGGATAGAAAATGTATCGTCACTGATTGGTTTGACCAACATAATGTGTCATAGTCTTTGTGCTTTTGGTTTGTGTAACATTTGTTTCGGAATGGACTGATATGAAGTTGTGACAGATTTGTTTTGTCCCTCGCCCTCCTCCTACACACCCACGTCAGACTGCTTCTTGTGGGAGACAAAAAGTACTGCCCCTGGAGGAACATGTGGTGTGTTTGAAGTCGATACTGTTTCATCTCTAATGAGACACAAAGATGCACATTTGATGGGTGTATAATCACCTCATGTGACACCTTCTTCCGTCTCATTGATAGCAAAATTGGGGGCAGAAAAGCGAGCTGACAGCATGGAACAAAGAACAGCGATTCCCTCAGTGGTCTGTCGCCATGAGGGCCATGACGAGGATCGCTTGGCCTCGTCACTTGACTGCACGGACTCAACCGGTGCTGGTCGGCGAGGGCGTGGGGAGACGGGGGGGCTGTGTGGGCATCCTGGAAATGAAAGGATGGATTGATCAGGGCCTAGCTTTTGCTTCTACTCAGCTTCCTCTGTCCATTGTGGCATAGAGACTGGGCCTATTGATTGAACTTAGTATGTTTCTCCCATTAAGAGTGACTCATTCAAGGAAATATACAAATCAACTTGGGGACATCTATGGCACACGCTAACTCTTGATTGTTTAGATGTCAACAACGTTGGGAGCATATTCAGACTTGAACTCTTGTTGAGTTTATAGTGTATCAGTCGGATGGATTTTTGAGACCATGGCAGCTTGAGTCAGTTCATGATACCCATTTCACTAATTTTGCACCTTGGCCCCTCCAACACACACACACACACACACACACACACACACACACACACACACACACACACACACACACACACACACACACATAAGGATTGGTACAAACACTGATCATTTTGACAACATTCAAATCTATGCGTTGAACTTTCCTATCAGCAATTGAGTTTTTACGATGTTGTCATGTCAGCGTACCCCTTAGGAGTCTCGGCTGGCTGCCTAGTGCAACTCTGCCGGGGTGACGGGCAACATAGCAGCATTGTCTGTAATCCTCACCGCTTAGCATTGTAAGGCAAATCCTTTGTCTGGCAGAGGTTAAAAAAAGAAAGCCGTCTTAATTGGAGTGCAGATAGTGAGCACAGGTGGTGGTGACATATTGTTGTTATCGGTTTTAAAATTGAAGCCTAGCACTTCATAGTAATGGTTGAATGCACTGTTGGCTGGATTTATATCAATTGGTTGTTGGTTGTGACTGTCACCTCGTTATACTGTTTATTACTGTGTGTATGGCAGTTGGCAGTTTCTGCAAGAAAAAGAAAAGAAAAAAAGTCAATTTCTAGATAGTTTTAGTTTAATTTTTCTGGGTTAGAAAGTGCACCATTAAACGATGCCGCCATAAGATGTCTGCTTGTAGTCATCGCTCAATTTTTGTCTTAATGATGCTTGTCAGCTTTTTGCGCCAGAATTGGTCAAATGGACCACTGGAGCAAGTGCAGACTGTTGAGTATAGCACTGCAGCATTCCGTTACAACGCACAGCAACAGGGTAAGATAAAATTAGCGTGTGGGTTTATTTGTGTCATTTGTTTCTTGCCTTGTATCCTCTAATGTTACAGCAATGTGGTAATGAATTAAGGTACACGAGTCTCATGGGATATCCTGGGACCTCAACATGACTTATTAGACATGTTTTTTTTCCCCAAACTGAACACCCCCAGGAACATTTTTTTTAAGAGGCTCCACTGTAGAAGCATCACGAAACACATTACATTTGACAGTGCATCCACTTTCCATGCCGCTTATCTTCATTAAGAGCCCATCCCAGCCACACATCCACTCTGCCAAAATGTAAGGCTCTGTACTTTGCACATTTACATGTTTCCACCAAATGAGTAAAATAGAATGTTCTTATTCAGTGCTTTAAGGTCCATTCGTCCTGTTGAATGCAGTACAGGCAACGTAGGACTGTTACTTAATCGTATGTATCATACAGGGTGAACCAGTTGCCTACTTGTTTTGCACTTGTCTGTGTCTCTATTTTGTAATATGAATAATACTGTATTTTTCCTATGCATGGTTGTATTTTATTGTATTTTATCGTTAATCCATTTAATTTTGTTCTTATTTTGAACAGTTAAAAAAAGCAATATCAAAATGATAAATTACTCAGTTATATTGACCAGCCCAGTTTTCCAGCTTCATGGTGTCATCCTTAGTTAACAGATCAACCTGTGTTATTTTCCACTTTAGTTTATTTTGAACAAAAAGCTTTCCAGGGAGTATCCAGTTTTATTTAGCACTTTTGTAAATTCATTTGTGTCCAAAGTGTAGGTTATCCTCTGCCATGGCGCCAATGATTGTTGACTTAGGCGTGACTCCGCAAAGTGTCTCGCCGCACTTGCTAGATAGCCGAAGCTCATTGCTAGCTAGCTGGTGCGACCTAAGTAACACCCAGCTTGCCTAGATCCCTGATTACCTGCGCGTAGGTGCCAGCCCAATGAAATGTTGTTTTTTTGGGGAGGGGGGGGGGGCTGTCTCCGCAGTTCAGTTATCGGAAAAACTTGAAAGTCCATGTAATTAATGAAGTTTTGACTCCTAAATTGTGAATTGAAACCGCGTATTTCGAGCCTTTGGATGCATTAAATAATTCAGTTGTTTGGATAGTCGTCTCTTGTACCATCCAGTCCCACATTACCTCTCCGTGGGTGCCTTGTCCAACAGGCCAGCTTTGTGCTCTGGGCTGACTTGTATTTCAGTGCCTGACTAGCCATGTGGACCATTATTAATTAGAATCTGTATAGGCTTGTCACAAACTAATCTTTATAGAATTGATTATACAATAGGTTAATCCATTGATTATTCAAGTAACGCTTGCCTGCAAATCTTTAAATGGCCTCGCCCCACCTTACCTCTCTCCTGCCCAGTGTTGAGAACTAAGCGGAGGCTCAGAGGGGATCGAGCCTTTTCTGTAGCTGGTCCCTCGCTTTGTAGTGACCCCCCAGCTGAACGTGAGGTATGCCCCCTCACTGTCCATCTTCAAAACTCATCTTAAAGCTCATTTTTATTGTTTGGCTCCTGACTCAGCATGAGACTTGATTTTTTTAGTTTTACTGTTTTTGTGCTTTCTACTGTCTTTGTTATTAAGTTATTGTCTCACCTACACACCCAACAAACCTGACGTGCATCTCAAAAGCTGCTCCTATGCGGACGGGACACAGCAAAAACAAGCTGCACTATGCACTGTGCACACCAACACAAATCACCGAGTGCATTATGTAATAAGCAACAGCATCCAATGTAATAATGCTTAGTGTGCTTATAGGGTGTGTGGTAGATTTCCAAAGTGCCTTTTGAAACACATGAATGTTTCTTACTCTCTCGGTTTATTTGTTATATGATTAGGAGAATTATGCGTGTAATTCCCACTTGACGCATCCTGATGCTACTCCCAAAATCTCTATTTCAATTTTTTTGACCATGTATTCACTGTCCTTCACTTTACCCCACCCCCTCTCTACGACAGGTACAATGGCTCCCTGCCCAATGGGGATCGCGGTCGACGGAAAAGCAGATTTGCGCTATACAAGAGGACCAAAGCCAATGGTGTTAAGCCGAGCGCCGTGCACATACTCAACACACCCCAAGACAGCAAGGTACACATTTGACAAGTAGAACACCGCAATTACCTGCTTGTGTTTTGATTTAGACAAACATGTCTGCTTAAGTAGTCCTAAGTGCAGGCACCTTTTTTTCCAAAATGAATGAATGCGCATGAACTCTTTTTGTTTGCAGATCTCATTGATGATAACACTCATTCTTTGTAAGGCCTCACAGTTTACTTATCTTTCCCCTAAGAGGCTGCCACAAACCGCCTGGTCCAGTAAAACATGTCAGCCTTCCTGCATTCCTCTCTTTGGGCGCCTGATTAAAATGCCAGAAGCGTTGCTTACCTTTGCACCCTCTGAGGGCCCATACTCTACACGTTTGCCTGTAGTTTAGCATCCTGGCCGCAAAGTCCATGCGCTCATGTTACTCTCACCATGTGGAACATGACCCCTGATAAGAATCGATTTTGTATTGCAAGTCTTTCAATGCAGAGAATCCACCTCTGTGAAACTGTAGTGATCTATCAAAGTTACATGCATGTAGGCCTGTCATATTAAAAACAAAACATTTTAGGGTGATATATTTCCCAGAAATTATCACAATAAATTATTGTGCCGTTGCTGGTTATTTTTATGCCACTGACATGACTTTTGAGCATAAGAATTTAAGTACATCCTTTTTAAGAGCAATTCATTTTTAATTCTCAAAGGAATATTGAACACTGGCAGGCCTCCAGACTATTTTTGGGGACTAGGAGTCCCCCTAACTCTAAATTTTAAGGGTGCAAGCAGAACATTTCAGGGTGCACACTGCAAATTGACTTTAAAAGTGCATTACATTCCACTTACTTATTCACTGTATTACTCATAATAAGCAGCAACTCATCGCTAAGCAGAATATCCTGCCTTCTTTTGTCATGACAGTTGGACTCATTACTAGGATTGGTCTCTGGCACGTAACATTACCTGGGGAGCAAGTAAGCACTGGTTGTCCTATTTGCCATTGTTCAGCATTTACAAGAGTAATCTGAAACCTGTGGATTTGCACGAAAACCCCAAGAACATCCTCTATTCACAATTTAGCCAGTCACAGTCGGACTAGGTAATATGGTTTTAAAATACAATCTATGATGTTAAACTAACAAAAGCTATTCATCCTCCCGACCGTGTGTTAGGATGCGGAGCGAGGAGATGACAAAGTGTTTGCAGAGAGCTATTGTCACATCATGGTTTTAGGGTTACTGCTGGAATAAGTTAAGATATTGCTCATGTTGTCTTTAATAAACACACCCCTTCTTATGTTTAGTTCAACTTCTGGTTCTATTGTTTTAGTCACACTTTTCCTCTGACTGTACAGCTACCCTTTTGTGGTGGGATCACAAGAAAAAAAATGTAAAGAAAAAAAAATGTGGGGGTAATCCTTTTAAATGCTCACTGAGCTAAAGTGCCACAAGAGTTCATCTTGCATAATGTTGGTTTGAACTTGTGGGATGCTTTTACAACAGAAGGAACAGTGTCTGTTACCTTAATTGTCTGCTCCTCCTCCTTTTGCCTCCCTGCCACATGCTGTTACATACCAAGTTGGGGATCAGGAGGGCGAACAGAAGAGGAAGTTGTCACAGTTGACTGACGCTCGGCTCCCAGCTGTGCACACACCGGTCAGAAATAGCCTGAAGAAAAAGAGGAGCGTGCTAAACTTAATTTGAGGGAAGCCTTCCATAAGGGAGGAGAAAAATGTTGGGAGAAGTCGGCCTCTGGGGCTTTTCCACAGTACTCCTCCAGCCCACTGTCATCCCCCCTACAGTGACAGTCACACTGTTGAGAGGTTAAGTACGTATTGGTGCTTACCGTTGCTTAGACCGAAGTACAATATTAAGGGCCTGTTGTGATGTCAACCTGCAAACGTAGTCCTCTTTTCTCTCTCAATATTACCCCCTGATTTATTTTATATACACTGCCACATGATGGTATTTCCAGACAGAAAAAAAAATCTATTTCATGGTGTGCTTACGGGACAATCGGGTACGATTTGAACTTCTCTTTCCACTTTGACAGTGTGAAAAGTAGTTCAAAATCTTGCTGAGCTTGACTTTTTTTCTTTTCCTTTTCCCCTTTATTGGTTCTCCTTCACTTACCAAGGCTGCACATTCAATAATAGAAGACAATGTTAATCAATGTTGATGGATTAATTTAACTCAGCACACTCATATGTTGTGCGTGACTCTGTCTCCTCCACAAGCCAAAAAACATGATTACCAACAAATCAACATCACACTTATGCCCTTGTGAAGTTGTCAAGTCGACAAAGCTACTAGTTGAAGAACTGTACTAGAGAGAGCGAGAGAGAGCTTCAATGTTTTAAAAGTGCTTGGGAGGAGTAAAACAAATCACACTGATTTTTTTTTTAACATGGTCCCGAGTGTGTGTGTTTTATTTTATTTTATTAACCTATTGCAGGTGGGTCTGGAACGTAACGGATGCGATAAACGCGGGTTCACCATCGTGCTTTTGCTCATTTTTGCCGTCGAACAGGTGGAGCACAATTTGTGTGGGAAACCAAAGTGTGATGACAGTTGTCCCTAACTCGAAAGCGGCGGCACTGTTGACCCACTTTCTTCCTCCTTTTCTCTCGCACGTGACAAAGGGAGGAGGTTGTTGTTGGTGGTGGGGGGGGGGGGGTTGTTTTTGGGGGAGTGGAATTTGCAGATTAGAGTGGCATGTGGTAAAGCGTCTGGAGCTGAGCGGATCTAACTTGCATTGAGCCAGTCTGGTGGGTCAGCAAGTTGGAGCTAACCGAGGCCTATGTGCAGTTTATGGTCATTGCCATGGGAGCGTTATCTTGCACACATTTCTCACTTTTTCCTCCCATGTATTTCTACTACAGACCTTTTGATTTTATGGACAATGGTTGCAAGAGGCTTTTGTTTAATAAGTTCTGCGTAAACGTCTGGAAGCATGTACGGTTCCTTGCGTCACAAAGAATAAGCATGTACAAAGTTGCTTGTATTTTATTGTATTTATTTATTTTATATTTGATTTTAGGCTGTCAACTCCAAAGGCCAGCACAGCATCTCATACACACTGTCCCGCAACCAGACAGTGGTGGTGGAGTACAGCTATGATAAGGACACCGACATGTTTCAGGTGGACTACTTTTATCTGCATAGTATCAGCTTCTTCTGCTTGATTGTGCATCTTAATTTCACGGTGACTGAATGAGGATCAAGAATCATAGTAACTGTCTGAATTTTGACACATGAGTGTTTCCAAATTAGAGCAACTGTTTTTTTTTAATGCTGTTCATTAACCCTACATATTCACTTTTTGCCAAAATATTTCATTCAAAAAAATCCTATCATTCTACCACAAGTGAGAGACTAAATGCTTGCTATAAAGTTGTACTGCTCCATGAAAACTATGAACAAAATATATCTGGGCCTTTTTTTTTTGGTCACCACACACCAGCGTGTACGTGTTAAAAAGTTCATTCTTGCACATCTGCTACCACTAAAAGTAATTACGACACGATATTGTATTAGATTAGCGTTGTGTTCGATTTCTGAACAATGTTCACCCTCCTGCAAATAGATTGGCCGTTCCACTGAGAGTCCCATAGACTTTGTGGTGACAGACACAATAGCAGGAGGCCAGGAGGGCGAGGAGACTCCCATCACACAGAGCACCATCTCACGTTTCGCCTGCCGGGTCGTATGTGAGCGGAACCCTCCCTACACCGCTCGAATCTTCGCAGCCGGGTTTGACTCATCCAAGAATATTTTCCTCGGGGTAATTACTAGTAATACCATACAACATCTTTTTAATAGCACTGCCTCTGTTCTGAAAGTGTATGCTTACCAGTCAGTGTGTTCTCATGAGAATTTTAGTGAGATACTTAATGAAAAGTCACTGCGTCACATGAAACCCATGCAGTGATTCAAAGAAGGCATCCTGCATTGACAACAGTTCTTTTTTTTTTTTTGCCTCTTCAACCTAATATTTTTGTATATTCTTAAAATTCTCTAAAAAAACAAAGCTTGTTGAAATATGAAAGTCGACTTTGTTTTCACAAGAACGCTACACCAATGATGCTGTTCCAGTTTCAGTTTTTTTGTGCATACAAGGGCCAATACGTCACTGAACATGTTAATGTGTGCGTCTTTGTTTCCCAGGAAAAAGCTGCAAAGTGGAAGAACCCTGATGGTCAGATGGATGGTCTGACAACCAATGGTGTTCTGGTGATGCACCCCAAGGGCGGATTTACGGAGGAGTCCAAGCCCGGCGTGTGGCGGGAGATTTCTGTGTGTGGGGATGTTTACACCCTGAGGGAGACGCGCTCAGCTCAGACTCCGGGCAAACTGGTCAGTGCTTGCTAAACATACACACTGGTTGTCTAGCACACATGACAACAATCTCCAGTCCCTTTTATACAATATGTCTTGAGTTTTGGAGTAGAGTGGAAAGACAGAAACTTTATCTTGCATCGAAAAACATCCAGGTCTGTCTACATTTAGCAAAAACACATTAGAACTTTTCAAAATGCACATGTGAAAGAAAATGCTGGTACTGAGGCCTTAATCAAGGATACTGAACAGATCCAAATACTTGTCACTGTTGACACAAAACTGCTAGAAAACCGAATCTCATATTTTATGTACATTTTTTCAAAACAGTCTTTGTTTTTTTTAATGTCTATTTTTTACTGCATGTGCAGCACTTTGTATGAAACGATTGTTGTTTTTAAAGTGCTCTAAAAATAAAGTTAAGTAGAGTTGAGGTGACACCCTACCCCGCCTTGCCTCTACAAGGCGCATGCTTGTGTCTAACATGCGTACACAATGACACTACCATTCTTGCAATATTATTTTCTGCAGTTAGTTTTTTTTTTTTTAATAGATTTTATACAAATATATTTTTGTGTGCTTTAGGGGTAAAACAAATTGTAAAATATTTTGTAATATGGTCTCTGGTTTGAACATTTTCACACATTGCATGTGGTTGTGAAACGGATCCGCCGCGAGAAATGGGAGTTCATTTAAATTCTGATGTTCCCACTGCATTGGTTATCGTGTTCCAACTTGCTGAGAACAAAAAAAAAATCTGATGAGCACCTGTATGAAGGAATGCCATATCGTGCTAACATAGTTAATAATAGCTTTTTCGTCTTCAGGTGGAGAATGAAAGTAATGTCCTCTTGGATGGCTCGCTGGTGGATTTGTGCGGTGCGACCTTGCTGTGGCGCACCGCTGAGGGTCTCTTTCACACTCCCACCCAAAAGCACCTGGAGGCTCTTCGTCAAGAGATCAACGCGGCGAGGCCCCAGTGCCCCGTGGGTCTGAACACCCTGGCCTTCCCCAGCATGCAACGCAGCCGCGCCCTTTCCTGCTTGGAGGACAAGCAGCCTTGGGTGTACTTGGCGTGCGGCCACGTGCACGGTTACCACAACTGGGGGCATCGCTCGGAGCAGGAGCCCAACACCCAGCGAGAGTGCCCCATGTGTCGCGTGGTCGGCCCCTACGTTCCGCTCTGGCTGGGCTGCGAGCCCGCCTTCTACGTGGACACAGGCGCCCCCACTCACGCCTTTGTGCCGTGCGGACATGTGTGCTCGGAGAAGTCTGTTAAGTACTGGTCGGAAATCCCTCTGCCCCACGGCACCCATGCCTTCCACGCCGCGTGCCCCTTCTGTGCCACCCAGCTCAGTCTCACTCAGGGCTGCTCCAAGCTAATTTTCCAGGGCCCCGTGGACTGATGTGAGGGGCGGATTCTGCTCTTGGGCAAGAGTGATAACATGCTGTGAAACTGTTGACATTATTTTGTTTCCTTTTCCTCACATTAGATCCTCCATGGGAAGCTCAGGTGGTGATATTATGGATTCGAAAGGCTGTCTGGATGCTCTGTGAAGGCCAAATGTCGGGCCCTTCCCTTCCCAAACCAGATACTGTTTCAGCTATCCTGCCAAGCAATTGCTTTAAAGAAAATATGCTCCAGCACTGGTGGGCTACATATGATTTACAGTAGCTGGTGGATTTTATGCTTTAGGTAGAAAGACTTTATTGTTTTTACTCTTTTTACTCTCAATAACAATGAGCGCGTGTAGGCGAGCCTGAAGCAGGTTCAGTATAGCTCCTGGTGGATCAGAGGTCTCCGAGCCAGACAGCTGGACTGTTGGCTTGAAGAACCTCACGGGTCTGATGCATCTCATGTGCGTGTCATTTGGACCCGAACCCCTTAACAGTATCTCCTAACCCTACGGAGGTGGCTTTTATATGCTTAATATACAGTCAGAATTCAGTGCCTCTAATCCCACGAAGCAGTGGGAATATATTTCACAGAAGAGAGAAGAGAAGAGTATTTAGTTGAAGGCAAGTGTGGAGCTAGCTTTGCATACGGGTGTAAGGAAATGCCAGCCCACACCGACCCATCTCCACATTTGTATCTGACAGAAGAACTATTTTACTACACTGAGGCCCTCGTACTGTTTTTAATGCAAATGTTAATATATTTTCCTGCATAAATAATTTGTGCGAAATTGTTTTGTGTGTGCATGTGCTGGACACCGTGGGTGCCCTCGGGCTTTATTTGAAAGAAAGGCCCTGCATCACTTCACCCCCAAATCCTCCCTTCTGATCTCTCAGCCCACCAGCCAAACGCTCGACGAGGACCTTGCAGGGCTTGACAATGATTGTACTGGATTACAGCCTCTTGATAGACTAGAAAGATAAGACCTGACACTGTGTAGCGAGCATTATGCATCACTGATAAGTGTGTCTCAGTCCCACACGTGTACTGTACGCCGTCTGCACTGTTGTTGGCTTCATCCTGCGCTGGCTTCAATCCAGCAACTGGGGCGCCAAGAAACCTGGGCATCGCCTCAGCAGCGTGCAGAGATTATACCAAATATAAGGAGGAGCTATTTTCTCTCACACGCAAGAAGCAAAAGTGGTTCTGTAAACAATCCCTAAACCGGGACCGTTGCTGCGGCGCAATGTTGACAGCTTTGGTTTCTAGTCGCATGCACCAGCTCCGTGGGAATAATGATATTATCTCACATGATGCCAAATTTGTTCTTTTGTTTTCACGGATGACTCAAAAACGAACTAGCGGATAAAGTGAAAGTTAAAAAAAAATGGGGACAAATCTGTGTATTCTTTTTGTGATGTTAGCTTAACAGACTGTGTCCATATGTGGAGAATATTGGCAACAGAGTTGATTCTGCGTCCTTCGCAAACAATACCAAGCATTCAAATTGTGAGTTGCTTCCAGTAGCTGCATTCAAGTTGTCTTCCAGAACTATGGATGACTGAGGGGCAAAGCCAACTTGAATTCATCCAAAATGTTTTCCTTTCCCAACAGAAACTTCCTTTAAAAGTTAAAAGGAGCTCAGCTCAAAGGTGACGCCATGTTGTCACATTAGATATTAAAAGCCTTTGCAGGGTCAACAACTACTTATGCCACGTAGCAGGTAGTAGCAGTCTTCACTGCACGTTGCTTCAAGAAGAGTGTGTTCTTACGGAGCCCCTAAGCGGACATGGAAGGAAAAAAAAAAAAACTTTGCGAGGGAACACAGTTTTTTTTTCCCCCTTCCATGTCCCCTTAGGGCACTAGTGTCAAAGTCAAGGCCCGGGGGCCCGATCTGGCCCACCACATCATTTTCTGTGACCCACGAAAGCCAATCAAACATGTCGACTTACATGATGCTTGCTAAAATCTCTTCCAAAAATGTAAAATTCTTTAATGTACTAAATAATATTTATAATAATATTTCTTGTTACCAAACCCCTTATGACAGTAACTTAAACAACAGTGGAATAGACCGTTCTTTATATTCTTCCAGTCATAACGGCCCTCCAAGGGAAACGGTAACAGAAATGGGCGTGCGACAAAAATGAGTTAACAACCCCTGCTTTAGGGGCACCATAGAAGGAAAAATTTTGAAATGCGCTTATAAATAAAATGTATTATTATTATTATTTTAAAAAAAAAACAGCGTTCCCTCGCTTTGATGAGCAAGCGCTCCATGTTTGTTGTTTTCAGTTACCTGGTCAATGACCCGGAAGTACATCAACGCGCATTTTAAAAAATAGATTGTGAGATCTCGCAATCTTTACGAGGAAATGCAATCTTTGCGAGGGAACGCAATCTTTGCGAGCGAATGCAAAACTTTGCGAGGAAACGCTAAACTTTGCAAGGTGTGCACCGTTTGGGGGGGTTGTCCTCGAATCGTTCGAGCTGATCGTGGGACTGAAAATGGTCATGTTAAAGGTTTCTAGCGTTTCCTGGTGCCCATACCGCCAGGCAGCACCCTTGACAGTTACTTGGATGGAGCCAGCACCGCCAATCAAAGAATTGAATATTGGTGGGGGGGTTCTTCGCAGCCAGTGCATCGAGTTCTGGTTATCCCTCTTTACAGACCCCAGAGACAATGGCTTCTTTGATGGTGGATTTCTGGACAAAAGCATCCTACAATTTTGTTGCATGGGACTTATTCAGGTGAGTTTGTACATTCTGATAGCCTCATTTATTAAATGTGTAGTTTTGTATGTGAGAGAGTATGTTAATGGTAAAGTGGACTGGGATACGAAAGAAGGAATACATTGGATAGTAGAAAGATGATAGTGGTGGTGTGTGTGTGTGGGGCGGGGGCGGGGGTCATAGGGTGAAGATGAAATGACCAAGGTAAACAAAGATGAAGGAAAAGTGGGGAGTAGTAAGATGTGGTAAACATGAGAGGGAGTGAGACAAATAAGACAGAAAAGAGGGAGTAGGAACAGAAAAGCAGCTTCATGCTATAATTTCTTGCTCATCAAAGCTGATATGGCTCTGCAGCTCCTCCTAAATCTATCTGTATATTATTTTCAACAGGATGATTTGGATGGCACTGCGGTAGTTTGGAATAGCCATCTCATCAGGCCCTCAAAGAACATAAATGTCCCCAGTGGTCGGCCCAACGTGATGTATACTTCACCTGAACTTTATGGTACAAGGGACTTCCTCTCCCCAGTTGACAATGAACAATTCAACTGTGCAAAAGCCACTGTGTCTTTCGTTTGACCATGCCTTGTGATCCGGATGTATTTGCATTGTGTGCTTTCTTAATGGCCCAGTCCGATCTGATGCCACCAAAAGATCCGTATCAGGCTGTGAACTTGTATTTGCACCTCAGAGAGGCCATCACTGCAACTCTTTTAAGTTCGAAGCATTATGTTTTCAGGGGTCAGAGACATTAACTGTTGGTGAGATTATTTTTCCTTTCGAACACCAATCATATTTGAACGGTATTTATATTCTATTATTTTATATTCAAACGTAAACATTAATTCCACAAAGCAAGAGCCATCTATGTTTTGCTTGGTGTTTGGGTCAAGCTATATTATGGCTCCTCAATTTAAGATTGTTTCCGTTTTGAGATTTCTTAATATCAGTATGGAATTACTGTACATTCAGTAGCAGCCTAGTTGCGCACGCTTACGTGTAAGTTTCGTCATTTTCCTCATGTGAATTTCCTTGGCATCTAAGATCTTCATTACCAAAATGAATTTTGGGAGATAACAGCTAGTATTTTCTTGAAGGCTGTTTTAGTCGCATATGTTGTATCAGCTCTTTTTATCTTATATCACGCTCATCTCAAAATTCACCGTAGAGACCAATTGGTTGAGCTGCATTCCTTGGCGTCTCCAGTTTGAACCACAGGGGGGCACTGTTTCATCAACAATGCCGAATATGGGAACACGGCAAGGATCCTGCTATTGCTAAAAGAGCTAAGAACCTTTAGGGTGTTTTTTTTTTTAATTACAAACGGAGCAATGATCACGTTTTTAGAGAGCTGAGTAGGCCAAATAAACATGGGGGTATAGCTGCTTCTTTAAGGATCCTTATTTATCTAGCATTTTGCTTGTATTATCTATATTTTACCAACATCGAAATACAAAGTATACTTTGGTTGAATTGAGTCTTATTGAGCGTCTCGCCCAACATGTCAGAGAACACTGACACGAATGCATAGTAAATTGTGTTGCAAATTGTGTACACACAAGGTGCAGCCCTGAATGCAGAATTTGGTTTTGGAGGCCCCACTCCCACCATGTTTGTGTGATGCAATGTTTCCAAACCTTTAGCCAAGTCACATGTTTTACATTGGAAAAATTCTCAGACCACAAAATCACACGATGATGTCACAAATAGTAGATACACAGGTTAATTGGCATCGAGTGGAAAAGTAATTGTTCTGCCTGTCAGTATAAATAGCTGGTGTCATGAAGTGGAGGACCCCCAAAAAGCAGGCAGTGGGGAGGAGCAGGGTGAACCTGATGAATTGTATTAATAAAACACAGAAAACTAAATCAAAACAAAAAGTCCTAAAAACAAAGCAAATCAGGGGGCGGGGGGATTTTGTTCAGACCGGGGAAAAAATCAGTCTCACTTTCTTTTGTAGAAACTGCGAACTTTCTGTGAAGCGAAGACGTTGTACCAAATTACATTGCAGAAATGCACATTGAGGGGTGTGGGGGGATGAGATCAAAAGAGTTTGATATGATGTAAGAAGTGTTGGCAGTTGAGGGAAATATCTCAGTTTGAAAAAAGAGGCCCACATTTTGAAAGTTACTACCTCAGCTTACTTCAAGCCAGAGGCGAGGAACACCCTGGACTGCTGGCCAATGGCAATCAAAGCACACATTATTGTCTAATATGTGCCCTGTAATTGATGACGAGCGCTAACGGTGGCACAGCGATGATGTTTCCCCATCAGTCTCGTGACATCATCTTTCCTCCATAATAAGGGAACATGAGGAGGGATTTAAATGCACGTCATCTCAGTGGGCGTCCTGGCTTCCTAATTAACGCTCTTGCCATAAGAGGGGTTCTCACGTCCTCACATATTTTTCCCGTTTTTTTATTTTTTTTGAATGACAGACAGAAGGTGACAGCATGATGCTAATTTCCATCTCTCTGTCGGTGGCTCCCCTGCCTTAAGCGGGCCACTGTTATGCAAATAAACCGGATTGATGTAATATTTCTTCCTTGATGTTAGAAGCCAGGTTCACGTGCTTTCGTGACGCCGCTTTGGATGATAGCACGAGCAGCATCACCTTCATCATCCCAATTAACCTTTCTTAGGATGCTTTACTTTATAAGCCTACCGCGCTTAATTTGCAGCACTTCTATTACAGTCACTCACAAAAGGATGCTCAGATTTTTGACCGTCAGCCTTTTGCACTCATCCATCATCAAAAGCATCAAAGGGGAAAGTGAACCAAACAGTTAAAAGAAATGATTTTGTTAGTGCTAATGTATTCACTGTGGTGCGTTGCTAAATTATCGAAATGATAATTTTCATGATTATGAAGAGAATATAGTTTTCAACGCCAAAATGCTAAGATGACGCTTCACATGACGTTAGGCACATGAACGTGTTCCACTGTGACGTAAGTATGATCACTGTGATCAAATTACCCAGTTGCTCTCTACAAAAAATGATTTTGTCATATTTGTAATGAGAAAAATTGACCTAATTGCTATTGTATCACAGAAAATCCATCGTCAGGTCAGTCGTATATCAAGGTACCACTGTGTTTAATTTTTTCGTACATCGCATTGGCAGTTAATCTTTAATAACTTTGTTCAAACATTTATTTGGGTAAAATGCTTGGGCACAACTTTTATGGGTAATACATTTAATTGAATAATTTAAGTGCATTTTTTTCTTATGTTTAAGCGCAGTGCAAACTTTGCATCGTCTTGCAACGGCTTCCCATTGTATTATATAAGCGTTTTAGAAATGAAACCTCTACCCTCCAGCATACCCATCACTCTGTTGTAATGAGGACAAATGCGATAGAGAATTGATGGATGGAAAGTTAAAATAAAGAAAATACACCACCATTCCACCGTACTGTGTTTCAACAAAGTGCAGCATTTCTATGACTTAGTAGCTGGATGGAAAAGGTTCAATGGATGTTTCTTTGCATCCTGCCGTGCAGACTGTGACAGGTGGCTGCGGGGCCATGCACCAAGCTGACAACAGGACACCTTTCATTGGCAACTTGATGGCTTCAACATCAATTACTCAGCATGTAGCTGAAGCTAATTGTTTGCAGATCTGAGAATAAGAGATAGCGCTCTTTAGCCCCTGCATGAAGTGAACACCAGCGATGTGACAACCCAGCATTTATGTCTCTGATTTTAATATAGTAAACTTGGCCGTGCTCTATTGTATCTGCAGGCAAATTGGACTATGATGACACGTGTGTCTCTGTGATGTTGAATTCTGTCTTATACACATTTGAAGCTCCCAGTTGGGCCTTGTGAATCACATTTAGGGACTCCACTGTTTCATTGCCACTTAACGGATTTGAAAATGATATATTCTCGAGCACCTGTTACTCATGGGCCATTAGAATCGTCGAGTCGTCAATTTTCTCCCATTTACGGCGCCTCTGCTACCGGAATGCATTTTTGATATTCATTTTTGTGGTGAAAGGTCAACATAAGAAATTGAAAATCATTCATTTTTCAAAATAAAACAAGCCTTTCTCGTGCTTTGGATGAGAACAAGCCGAACTCATTTAAATCTTAACTGTGAGAGACTGTGGATGACAGGATCATATTCGTTTTTAATTCCGGGGCATGGGGTCATGCTTATATTGTGACTGAGATGGCCAAATGAGATACAATAATATCTAACAGACCAACTTACTTTCTTAGTATGTTAGCATAGCATAGCCTAGCATGCTATGGTGTAGGTAATGACAACAAATGACATCAATAAATATATTTTTTTACAAAAGGAAATATTTATAATTTATAGTACAACTATTCATGTGGCCATCCATCCAAACAAGATACTTTAATTATGGAGTTGGTCCTAATTAAATTTTTATCAGTTCAAAAGTAAATGTATTGCTTCCACATGGTGAATGTTTTCCTCCCTCCAGTTTGTCTCCCACTGAAATGATTGCGATAATCATAATTGGGCAAGGGGGTTGTTTTACACACCCTGCCAATAGCCAGCTGGTTCTACCAAGTAATATATCAAACACAATGTTCGGAGTGAGGGAGTATCCTCTGCTGGGAAACGAGATAGGTGATTTATCTGAGCTTCCTGTTGCTCAACAAAATTGAATCCTCTCATTTTAATTGCTCTCTAGTAGGTGTGCTGCTCGGGGCCATGAGAGCACCAGCGCTCCATGTTGTTCCTCTTTGGACCATTATGTTCCATTGTGCAAGATGCCGATTACGTCTCGCTTTATCCTCGTCATCTATCTGACTGGGGATCATTTAGGTAGCCACATGCTACAAAGGAACAGCAGTCCGCCCTGTTATTAGATGTGTTTGAGTCCCCCCGCTTCTTGTAATGAGAAGCAGATCACAGAGGAGAACTAATCTCTCTGAAGACACACGGACTCATTCAAGACCTTTTGACACTTCATAGAGCATGCGGCAAAATACGATTCACATGTTCAGGTTTGTTAAAAATGTTTTTTTTTAAAAAAAATTTCAGGAAGGCTGTATGCATATCCACATCTTGTGATGGTGTATATCTACCACAAACTACGATCCCAACGTGGTGGTCGGTTCAAAGACAAAATCCTTAAAATTGCCACCAATGTGTCAGGACTGAAACTAACACGTGGGGTCATATTTACATCAAATACACAAATAGCGGTGTTTTAGTGCAAATTGCGGGATATAGCTTCCACAGAAAAATCGTGATTAGGTGAATTTGTGAATAGCAAACTGTGAAGTGGCAGGAGTGCCATGTATACCGCTGGGTCAATGATGATGGTTTGTTGAAGTAGAGTGTAGGGGGAAAAAAATTGATGACCCATAAAGACAATATAAGCATTTTAACTTGTGGAGGTAGCATGCCATACACTAAACTGTGTATATGTGTTGCTGGTACACATCACTAAACACAAATACGTACTCACTAACACGTTGGCAACTGCACGAGTAATCAAGTGACATATAACAGAAGCTAACACTGTTAAATTACGCTTATCTATGCAGTCAACAAAACAATGCAGCGCCATTCATGTGCAAGTCACGAGAAAGTGAATTTTCCATTAAACTGGATGTCCCCTTTGTGTAACACAAGTGTAACATGTGCCAATATTCTATCCACATATCCAAATCCCAGTATGAAATGTTGTGTCTTGCAGGGGCATGAATGTTTGTAGGGTTATGAATGGGTGCAATGTGGCTGTGAAGCACATTCAGAAAAGGGCTTAAGTGGATTACACCTCATTTCAAGGATGCTTATGGTAAGATTAAAACAGATATGAGGTAAGTGAGGAAAATTCTAAATCTGATAGATTGAATTTCACTCATCCTTTTTCCTCCTCCCTGTATGCCACTTGCCCGTATATGCTTGTGTGAGTGTGTGTGTTTTGAGTGTGGTGTTTGTGGATGTACAGTAAAGATCAACAGCCATCATGGAGGTGTTTCTTATTTGTATGGGACAAAAATACACATGCATTCATCCACCCATGCTTGTGATCGTGAGTGAGCTGAAGCCATGACAAATAAGGTGCTCTTCTGAAGTAACAGGTCAGTTGCTCGCGTGCCTGCGAGTGAACGAGAAACAATCGACACTTTTGTCAGTCATGCTTACTGTCTCTGATGGGTTGCTTGTCAATCAAATTTGGCTGTCTGATTTTTTTTTTTTTTTCCCTAGATGATTTTACTCATACGGTCAGGTCACAGTAGTAGTAGTAGTGAGTGCATCTGCCTCAAAGGTCTCAGCTCAGGGGTCAACCAGCATCCCAAAAAGGATTGAGTTAAATCTCCACTCTATATGCAACATGTGTACATGGGCTCACACGTAATCACATTTAATCTGAAACTATAATGAGTTCCATAGCTATTACAGTCAACTAATGTGTGTTAATAATGGTGCCATATGGAGGGAGGCACTTTAGGTAATTCCTCTTTTTGAACAAGCTGCCAATAAAAAGGCCATATTAGGGAGAGAGTAGGTTTAATCCAACAGACCTCTAATAATGTTGCTATATCGTGCTTTTATCGTTTTAGCATCCACTTATCTTAAATAATGTGTACATATTAACACAAAACTGAGCATTTCCGAATGTTTTGCGCTTGAATGTAATTTTCTAGTGCACTCAAAGTGTGCTTGGAGAGTAGACTTTATGACGTGCCTGATTTCACTCCCCTCATCCTCGTCGCTCCCAAATTCCTCCCCACATCCCTCTGCCAGCCAACACTGCAGCCCAGCGGATAACCACGCATGGATTAGCTGTGACATCACACTGAAGAGATGGCTGAGTGCGAGGAAGGCCGAGCACTCGAGTGTGTGTCAGATGTATGTGTGTGTGTGTTGGAGGCTGATTAGACGATGAGGGTGGCAGCGAGTGGGAAGCGAGGATTAGGCAGCCATTGGAGAGTTGGCTATAGGTGCTGACACCACTCCACCTCACCAAGGGCTCAATTTACTGACGGATCAGACTCATTTATGGTGGGCGGGGATTATTATCAGTTCAAGGGGGCCATATTTTTATTACACTAACTCTTCAAACTATATGGTCACAATATGGAGATATTTAAGGGTGCCTAGTCAATACCAGCGGTGGGCTTTGTATTTGGAACCTGGGCCTTAAATGGGGACTTACCGATTCAGTCCACCTCTTAATACTAACTCATCGCAATTAAATAAACGATCAATACTGTACAAAAACACAATATAACAGCATGCAGTTTTGTCATGTACATCACATAGAGCAATTCAGAATTAATATTTATCAAATAACATGACAAATACAATTTGTACCTTTAAATAAAATACATAATATTTTCTGATTCTGATTATTAAATGTATGAACGTGTGCAAATCACTACAGACGTGTTCATGTCGCAGTTGTCTTGCTCTGACCAACCAATCAGTTGATGGAAAAATGTTGACGTCATCGCTATTCTAGTTACATCAGCCAGCACTACAGATTGACTGACACTACTGGTGGCCCCGGACAGATTCACATGACATGACATAGAGGCTGAAATCTGATTGGACAATACAAAAAAATCCAACTCATACAGTAAACATACTGGAAGCACGGCAGGAAAGAGAAATTTTACAAGATGAAGACAATAAAGATTGCATAGGAGGATGGTGTTTCCTGCTGGACTATGCTGTCTGCTGCACCTCCTGGATGACCCCGCCAGCTGATGTCCTCTGCACTCTGTCCCTTCCTCAATACATTATCATGCCGCCATCTTGCAGTAGAGTCTTGCAACCTGAGAACAGGTGCTGCAGACTGGTGTTCAGCATGACACAGACGGACGGGGCAGCTGGCCTCCTTGCCAAACCGCTGGTGTATATTTCTGGAGAAAGGCAAAGTGTCAAATAATAAACAGTGTCTATCCCCCCCCTCACCCCCCTTCTCACTCTCTCACCCATGGACCTACTATACAGTATGAGCCATAACTATGATTGATAAGTAACTACTGGGACAGACCACCATATCAATACCATCCTTTTATATATTTGTCTTTAAAGTATGATAACCACTCTGAAATGCTTGTTTCTTTGATCGACCAACAATATTTCTGGGTGAATAAGAACTGTTGCACATTTAACCATCCAAACATAATGAAAATTCTTCACCCTTTTAGCCTTCATGTGTCACTATATTTAATGCTGTGTATGTATTCAATCAAGTCACAAATATTTTAAAACTGTAATATTAAAAGTTTTCTTTTCATGTCATTTTTAAAGTGGCTCAATTAGACCCACAACATGTCAGGGTTAAAACATTTACAATTTCTAATCTGAAAGTGATTTTTCAAACCAATTAAAAATATAAAATACTATTTTGAAGTTGCTTTGTATTATTATGAACTTTGTATCGCGTGGTCTTTGAAATACAGTAAATGGTTAAAACAAATGCCCGCGGTAGTCTCGCGAGATTCGCTCACTGGCGCGGATACGTACCAGGAAAAGAAGAGGTTCAATTTCGGTCTTTAAGTCTTCAGCCCTGAATGTTGTGTCTGCATTTTGAGTCAAACGCTTTAAACGCAATACGTTAAGGGATACTAATTTCGCGTAAACCAAGTCGCACTGCTTTATTCTAGCTTGTAGGTGCAACATGGGTCGCTAGTTGTCTCTCGTTAACCTCCGAGGGAAAAAAGGGCCGGCGTATGTCCATGTCAACAATGGCCACGGAACAGAAGACGAGCTGGATATTAACTGGTGCAACCGTCGCCTGTGTGCTTGCTCTCTATGTGCCGTCTGTGCAGAGAACAGTCCCCGGCGGAGATTCAGGTTGGTTGCTAACGACAGTCAGCAAGCTAACTAAGCTTCCTTGTTTCAAGTCACGTGGGTTTGTTGTGTTTTTGGTAGCTGCTCATGTGGTCCGCTTTTGAGCTGCATTAAGGTGATCTACACCTGCTAGCTGTCAGGGAAACTAAACGTTAACGGAAACATGACATTCCTCCCCCATTTTAAAATAGGGTACTACTGTGTTGTCTTGATAATATGGCTGGGGCATGCTTTTTGCAAGAATCAAAACCAATTCACGTAGACCTATTTTGGGCTGAATGTTAGAAAACTACGACCATTCTGCAACAAAATTCATGTGTCTATCTCCACCTATGCTATTATCAGTCTCTGAAAAATATCAAACACTATCGTGTTTAGGGTTTTATCGGCATTAAGCATTTTCCTCTCCATTAAAAAAAAAAAAACCCGGATCGATTATTAATATTATTGTTATTATTATTGTTATTATTATTGAGATAGTACACAAAAGCAAAGCAACAGCAAAGAAGATGGCAAATATCTATTAAATTAAGCTCAGAAAAATTGTGTTTTTTACTTAGACTTGTTCCTGCTTGATTATGAGTTTGATGGCCATTATTCTGGATAGATATGAATTCTATTTCATGAAACCCTGCCTGTGGATGGTATGATAAAGAATGACACATTGACACACACTCATCCACGGCCACCCCTGAAAATTATTCGAGCTACAGAGAGTTTCCCCCTCAAAATCCGTGAATAGGTGAACGTGCGAATGCTGAACCGCTCTATGCTTGAGATTTTTTATTACCCCAATGAAACACAAGTCTGTTGTTATGTACATATATACATACGTGTACTGTTCTACACATGCACTATATTTCAGTCCCTACCTTCTGCAAAGTACCTGCTGTAGACCAATGTGTCTTCCAACTTTCTCTGTAATGCAGTTTGCCAAAGAATGCCTTGCACATTTGCAGAGAGTGTTTAGTTGAGATAGTCAAGTTACAGATGTTTAAATTGGCCAAATGAAGGCTCTGCTGCTTGTTAGCTTTGCAGCGGTCTGGCGTACAAGTTGCGGAAAGAAACGCGCATTTGCACATTGCAAGCGTATGAAAAAGCTGAGCCAGATATGAATGCGGAACGGCGAGGAGAGAGCACCGAGTAGCCTGCCTGCTCTCGTGAATGAGGATGGGAAAACGGGGGGGGGGTGTGGGGAAGGGGGTGCTTTGAAAAAATGGCCAGCCCCTTCTCCACAGTGTTTAGGGACGGTGCAGGATGCCCACTCTGATAGTGCCAGCTGAATTCCCCAGGTCTCCGTCTCCGTGTCCTAATCTCTTTAGGTGTGATGTGCCCTGGAGAAGTTTGAGCACAGCCCCTCGGGCACACTGTTGTCTAGGAATGTGGAGTGTGGAAATGATTGGGATTACGGGAAGACCGGTGTGGGTGCCCATGCTCCACTATCGCAAAGACTCTTGGCAACCTCGCTGCTCCCCCGTTGAGTCACTAGCTTCCATTTGGGGGGGGGGGGGCTTGCAGAACCGCCTCACTCTGAGATTGCTTTTGCTCACTCAGTTTGATTTCTGTTGAATGGGGGGAAATGTGTGCCACCGCTCAGGGAAAATGAGGAGCTGACGAAGGACGAGAAAATGTGGAAGCGGTGGCAAGTACGTAGCTCGCCGCTCATGCCGGGTGAAATGGAGCTGGAAAGTGTTTAAGATGTGCAGGTGGAGGAGTTCTGACTTCATGCTCCATTAGACTGATAAGAGTTAGGGATCCTCATGTGCCACCAAATGTAGGCATTAAATCACAATTAAGGTCAGCACATCTTATGTGATTAACTCATGCCTTTAACTTTTTCTTTGTCTCTTTTGTAATTAATTCCACTACAAAATTAAACCAGTCAACTTTGTTTTTTTACCCCACTTTCTTTCTTTCAAAATTTTGCTGCTGTAAATTGCGAATTTCTCCATTGTGACCCCTACAAATAATAAAGGCTATATGATGGCGACAGTTTGACCCTGGAACAAATGAATACATTTTGCATTTGTTTACATATTCATGTTAGAAAAAAAAGTTTTGAAATCAAAAACAACTTGGAAGTCAAGCATCATGGAATGGACTGTGTTCAATTGTTGAACATTTTACGGTTTGTGAAGCCTCACACGCGCACATCTTTTCTTTTTCACTGAATGGTTTGATGCTCTGTGCTGTGCCGATACAGGCCACAAGGACGTTGCAGAATATGATGGAGTAGACGCGGGACTTTCTCTCTAGTGCCGCTAGAGGGTGCTGTCATGAACCCAAACCTTTATCAGTGTCAGTTAATCTGAACCGAATTTCAATTTTCATGAGTGGGAGATGCAAACATTGGGTGAGAAATCAGCATAATTTGAAACGCTCTGGGTGTATTCTGGCACAAATGGGTTTGTGCCCAGCTACATTAAAGCTTGCTCAAATAGCTTTTAGGAGTAGAAGGGTGGGGGGATCGGGGTGGGGGAGACGTTTTCATTCAGTGTTGTGCCTCACACAGAGCTTGTCATGAAATTGTGCAGCCGGCTCTTATTTTTGCAGCTTACCTCATTCTGTGACTGTCACCAGCGTCGCCTTCTTTCTGTTTGTGCCCAACGGACTGAAGGCGACACTGAGACACTGGCAGAGACGCATGGAGAGTGGCAGAAGAAAGACCCTGACGCACGGGGAGGATGGGACTGGAAGCATTCTTCTCAGATCAGCATATGTGTGTCTTACTGTGACAGTGCATTGGAGAGGATGTCTACTGGCGCGTGTGTGTGTGTGTGTGTGTGTGTGTGTGTGTGTGTGTGTGTGTGTGTGTGGTGGCGAAGGCAAGGGAGGGGAGGCGTCAGGGGAGAGGCAAGCGCTGAAGAGAATGAGCGTGCCGCTTAGGAAATGTCACACTGGGAAGATTTGCAGGTTTTGATCCTAGCAAATTAATGCAAAACCCCAGTGCAAGTATTTGATTTGGGAAAACTTTGGGAGCAGACTTGTCTCTTAATAATAATTATTGGGTTTACATTAATTTCCTCCGCCATTTCTCTTCCACAGGAGAGCTGATCACCACTGCCTGTGAGCTGGGGGTAAGTATTAGCGCTATTGTTTAATCAATTCACTCATTAACTCTTAGAAGCATTAAGCAAGTTTAATTAAGCATGGGCAGAAAGCAGATTAATTCAGTTTCAGTCCACAGGTTTCCCCCCTTCTTTTCTTTACACTTATTTTACCAAGTTGCAAGTAGAGAATGCTATAATTTGCAACCCGTTTTTCAAATCCAATTAAAGTCAATAGTAAGGCGATGGCTTTTGTAGGCTTTGCCTTATGTACGGTATAAGGCTTATTATATCCACCCCTCTTTTTTTGTGTGTGTGTAAGCCGCAAAGAATGAACTAAATCGGGTTAACAGTTATAATAAGTTTTATTATTTAATAAAGTTTATTACGCCGCTGTGATCCTTTTAGGGAGGCTGTGTCGGTGTCACTATGCCAGTAATCCTGCTGTTAGGGCTGCGGTCCGTGTGGCCTGCCCGGCTGCCTCGCAGGCCTCCCAAAGGCCTCGCAGGCCACCCCTGTGTCCCAGGCTGCCCATTTTATATCCCAAGAGTTCTTCTGCCCTTTTGTCTTTTTGACTTTTTTGGCTCAGCGATCCTGAACTTGAATCTTTCCTCTCATGTCATTCTCTCGCTCTCAAGTTCACGATTTGAACTCTTACTTCTTTCCCTCGCTTTGTCTTCTGACCTTCACATTTTGTTCCAAAGCCCAACTGGGGCATCTGGTGTAGTTTTATGGTACGGTCTGTTCTAACGTTGACCGGCAAAGTAGTCAAACTCACCTTTCCTCACTGTCTTCGGTTGAAGCGCTGCCCCTACTTTCTGCCAGTGTGACTCATGTTATCAGCGGCAGGAAATGAATCTGTCTTTAATGACTGAGCCCTTATCTGGGCGAAGGAGACTTAGCGGCTAATTGCTGTGATTGCTGAGATCCCCCAGACGAGAACGACTGCGGCTCGGCGGTGGTTTTGGGGGCTGGGGCGGGCGAAGATCACGTGTTGTGCTGCGTGCTCTTGGGAGCTGCGCCGTCCTTGGGAAGAGGCCAAAGAAAGACAAGTGGAGAGTGCGAGGAGGAGGTGCCTTTGGTTTCCTGAATTTTCTGTTTCGCTTAACCTGTTCAGGGTCACAAATTTGTCTCGCAGCAACTACACGCAAGTCAGCAATGTGAAGTTGAACCACTATTCTACGAATGACCGTCCTTTCGCACCATGTCAGTTATTTTGTGAGAGGCGATGCCACTCACTGTGTTTTCAAACGTTTCTGTGTGCCCAGGTGGCCCATCCTCCCGGGTACCCACTCTTCACATTGCTAGCTCGCATGGCCATGTGTCTTCTGCCCACACTTTCACCAGCCCACAGTGTCAACCTAATGAGCAGCGTGCTGGGGGCAGTGGCATGCGGCACCCTCTGCATGACTGTATGCAGGTAGGCCCTTGTAGATGCAAAGAAAAAACGTTTATGCTTCGATGTACATCTCAATTCAAATTTTGTAGAAATGTCATATAGTTTAGTACAGTTGAGCTTTATTTAATCGCATTTCTATATTCAAATTCATTGTGGACAGTTAACCTAATACAAGCATTCTTTTTTCTTGAGATTGATTTATTTTTGTCCGTAATGTGTCCTACATGCGCACGAAGCACAACGTCGTGTGATGTGCGCCAAAAAAAAAAAAAAAATGACGCGCAGTTTTTATGAAAGTAAATATCATCTTATCAT